ATTCTAATGGCACAAGGACAAATACTTTTATATCTGTCTATCAGAGGAAATCGCTGGATGCAGCAGCAGAGGGCACAGGTCATGGCCTAACTACATGACCTCAGAATGCGGTTGTGTTCTACGCATGTAGATTCCTTAGAGCGTCCGGAACTCCAGTGGTTAAGACGATCAGTATCACCGGCTTAACTGGGCTACGCCAAACCCAGCGCCTGTAAAACAGGCTGCATGTTTACGAATATGACGGCAGTATGAGTCTTGTGACATAGAACAAGACAAGTATGTCATCGTGTCTGGATTTTAGAACCGTACTTTACATTACTTTTTTTATTTATACTAAAGTTAGGTGTTTGTGCAGGATGGGCGCGTATTAGACACAACAAGCGGATTGTACCAGGGGCACCGTATTGCTCTCTGATTGTACTTTGCTCTTGGTTCGTTATGTCTTTGTGCTGATACAAGCATTGCGGAAGGAGAACATCCTAGCAGAAAGTGAATCATCCCTTTAATAATGCATTTTTTTTTAGTTTTCTTCGTAATATTAATTGGGTCCTGATTTTAATTTTGGCCTTTTGATGGGAAAAGCACTATGAAGAGCGCACCTGCAGGAGCTTGTAAAGAGGACTGCTAGTTGTTAGAAGCGTGAGGACTTGTGAAGTGCCTTACTTAAAGGTAGGAAAGTGTAACTTAGATTGGTCTCGGTTATTACAGCCTTTTGAAGTGTGTGTTCTAGCGTTGTTAATAATCAGCAAATCTACTCAACTGGAGTTCCAGAGTATATGTGCCTATGATTTGGACCCGCAAACTTTCAAAGTTTCCCCATAACACCGATTATTATTGGGACCTTGCTTTATGAGCGTTTCTGTCCTATATACGTACTTAGTACGAGGAACTAAAAATACATATATAAATAATTGTCTTGATGAAGGACTTATTGTTGTTTTTGCAGTTTTTGGTTCTAAAGGATCTTGGAAGGTAGTATGTATGCTTTACAACATGTGTCCATGGGGTGGTTGCTCAACTTGAGTTTCTGCAGAAGTTTGAGATTGTGAGAAATGGGGTAAAGAAATGTTTTAGTTAAAAACAAGTGGTATTGCTGGGCCTGGGTAGGGGCGTTGGGCGTTTAAGGCCGGGGCGTATATCCGCGTATCCGATTGTAGATACCCGATGTCGCCCACAAGGAGGAAGCATATAGGTGTATAGGGTGTTAGGCCGGTGACAAGGGTGAGGTATCGTATTAGGCCCGAGCCCCAACATGGGGAAGGGGCAGCCGGTGTCTTGTATCGGTCAGAAGGGACAATGTCCGCAGCCACGCAGGCACGGTGCCCAGACCCTACATCCGAAGCCAGAGGCACTGAATTGGCCTTGAACTCCTGCTGGGTATTTCTCATGAAATGAATAGGTCCTAGGGAGAGGGGGGGGGGACCTCAAGGAGGGATGGGGGAGGGACGCGCTCATAGCACCAGTTGCAGCGAGAACATCTATGAGTTGGAGGTCGTTGTTCGAGGTCTTCTTTATAATAGGGCAAACGTGATATGGGACCCTACCCAAAGCCCACTTACGCTTGTGAGCCGGAAATCTTGACGCCCTGAACAGGCATGAAATCTTCACAAATTTTTCCCAGAAGTCTGAACGGGGCCGCCAAAAAGGTTTGGGGTGTTGTCCTTTGATGGGACTAAAATGGCAATACGCAAGCGCTCCCTACAAAAGGTCAGTTATACTTAGGCCCGTATGGGAGGGTGGTAAGCCCACAAAATTTGGTACACAAACTGTAATATTCCAGGTAAATTCAATGGAAATTAAAGTGAAGACTGTTCTTTTTCATACATTTGGGTTTGGAAGTTCAACACTGCCATCGGGAGCCCCGGGTGTTGCAGATTGTGGCTTTAAATCGCTCCACATCGTCTAAACCGTGTTGGTACTCACCAATAGTTGCTCCGTGGGAGTATTTTTATCAGTTTTAATGTTACCCCTCTGAGCAGCGAGAGCGGGGCTTCAAAGTGTGAACTGGTTTTTGTGTCAATGTTATTTGGACAATTAGCAAATTTCCTCCGGTTTTGCTCACACAAGTTTAATTCATTGTTTCATCTTCAAGCTCGAGGGGTCAGAATTTGAAAGGGAATTTAATATTAAAATGAGATGGGTCCGTTAGCACATTAAGTTTTACATGGTGATAACATAGTTAAGGTTTTCAAATGTTAGAAATGTTGCTGAATAATTCTAGTGTTAAGTCCGATTGATTAAATAAAGTCCAATATACCTAAGAATATACCCTGTTGCCATGGAGTGACGTTAAAAACACTCCCTCAATCTGTGTCCATTGGGAAAATTGTCCAAAATCAACTAAACATAGTTTATTAGTTTAACTAATTTGGCTGCAAATCGCGCCACATCATCGTGTAACACATAAACCATGCAATAGTTTGACACGAGATTTGTATTAGTCAAACGGTCTCGAGCGGAAGACTTCCGAATGTCGTTATAGGTGTGAAGTGCCCAAGTTTTCCAAGGAAACGGCACAATTATTTCTGTGCAGAAAACACATATCAAGAGATGTGAAAGGACGAAAGGTATTTATCCCAATAGAAAGTTACAAAACCTGGATTCCAAGCTGTCAGTTTGGTATGCTTAGACTTATAGGTTTAATTAAATATTCCTTAAATTGACTGGTTTTTTTTTTAAGGAAGGCACAATTATTGGTAGATTCTTACTCAATCTAAAATCGTACAATATCTCAATAATGATTTTTTGTCACTGGCTACTCACTTGGCGAGAAATACTCTGGTTGTGGTCGCAGATTGTCCGTTTGTGCAACTTTTGGAGTGATAAAATCTGTGCATTGTATACGTTCTGATAACATAGTGTTGATCCTCGATGTCAGTAGTGGAAACTTACTTATCTAGCACTCTCATCCCATCTTCCTTAAGTGATTTAGGTTTATGCATCATTGTCCGTGGCACTGCTCTATTTACCTGGGCTGGCCCCATTAATTTATCTGGTTTTTCAAACTCGAGAGTAGGTTGACCGCATTAAAAACTGGTGAATTTTGGAGCTTTTTCCAATCAACGATTGTGCCGGGATTGTAAGACTTTGTTTTTTGCACAGTGACGCTTTGATTGTTACAGTTTTAATAACTGCTTTCTCTTCTGCTCATCAGTGTTGGTTTTGCCTTGATATTTGTAATTTTCAAGCTCCAAGATTTTTTGGTTCAGCTGTTCTTCCTTCAGGACAAATTATCTCAGACCGACGAGAAAAAGCCTCTTGCCCTCAACAACAGGTTTGTTACATCAACACAGTGTGGCATGGTACTGTCAATGAGTACAGTAAATAAGTTATCATTTCAATAGATGATTACACCTTTCTGTCTCAGGTAGTGGTGACCGATATGTCTGCAGTAATATTTATTATGAAATCAAAATGTGCACATTCTCCAAATTGTCTATCACACCTCCTTCAGACCTAAATGTATGCTTCCCACTTAGGCAGTCTTGAGTGAATCACTTTACTCAGGTCAGCTGAAAACTGCAACAGACTTCCTGGAAACGTAAAACAGTTCTGTTGAGCTGTGCATACTGTACAACTGAAAGATTGCGCCATCACTTTTTTTAATGTACCGTGATTATTTATTATTTTAATTTGTTTAAACAAAGCACTTTAATGATCTTGCACTTGTATTGAAACTGTTATTGTTGATCGATTTTGATTGTTTCCAGCACTTTTTTTAGTTTGTTTTATTCCTGTACTTTTAACTTTTTTTTAATGTACTTCACACTGGGGACTTTTGCAAACGTATTCCAATGTGATTTTACTGCAAATGGCCAATAACATGAATCTGAATCATCTTTATATTATCCACCTAATGCTTAGATGTCAATGTTACAGGAAGGCATTTTACTGCTTCAACTACTTCTTCTTCTTCTACAATGTGGCGATGGGAATAACAAGTTGCTTCATACGGATAATGATCAGCATCGTGTTGGGGTCATTTCTCGTGGCTCGCATCGATCGAAGCATTTTGCAGAAGGGATACGAGACATTTGACAGGGGTGAGTTGAATGAGTTGATAACAGACACAACCCCTTTATGTCATTGCTACCTTTTGTTCCAAAAAAAATATCTCTTTATGTGTGGCTTTGACATGAGATGACTAGGGCCAGTTATGCCAATGAAAAAATCTATCCGTGTTTAACCCGATCAAGAGTCATTTAGCCCATTTCAAGTGCCACTTGTAGACAGTGGCGGCGCAGTGTCTGAGAGGATAGTTTGCATGTTTTCCCTGTGTCTGTGTAAGTTTCCTCCGGGTGCTCCGGTTTCCCCTACCACTAAAAACATGCACAATAGGTCTGGCATGCGCCTCCTGTACTGGCGACTCCGCTCCCATCTCTGTGTGGAGTGAGACAAATGCCCAAATATAACAATTGTAAAGCGCTTTGTGACTCTGGTCTGTGAAAGGCGGTATATAAATAAAGATTACTTACTTAAGTGCATGTTGCTCTTTTCCTCTGTTGAAGGTTATAAAACTTGGGTTGGGATGATCTTAGCCGACCACAACCACAACAATCCAGTGATGGTCTGCTTCATCGAGCTGCTGCTATCTCATGTTCAGGAAAAACAGTTTGAGTGCAACTATACTGAGATCAACAGCCCTTTAGGTAAGTGTGCTCAACCCATGCTGGAGTTTGCAATCTGCGAGTCGGAACCTGCCAGAACCACACCATTTTTAAATCATTATTTTAAAATGTGTGGAATTATCAAGCAGAAGGTCAATCGCATTTTTGCGAGAGTTTGCCTTCTTTATATACTCAAATATATAAATTTTGTCTTGAGTGCGTCTGATCCTGTAATAAAACACTGTGCCGTACAGTGTGCACGAGATTTGTTCAAACCTGGAAACCTTCTGTATACTTAACCATTGCTATTGGATTTGTTCTCATATTCATTTCATTATGCCTTGGTCGGAACTTTAAACGGTTTTTCAGTCCAAATTACTCTCCCAAGACATAAGTAAAGTCCAATCAAAGTCCAAGTTCAACCTAACATCTTTCCAGTCTCCAGTTCTGGACGCACCCTCGGACAATTCTCTCAAGAAAATTCTTTGACAATTGACCAAAATACTAGTTTGTTGCTCACAGAGTTTGATGTGATTGATTGTATATAATGTATTCATCCTCAAAGTTCTCAAAGCATAAACGCATGAGGAAGAAGATGTTTAGTGTGTCTCAACAGTTTTTACTAGAAATACGTTGCAACAGTAGTCAATATATTTAGAACTTGGCTGTGAGAAGAATTGCATCAATTTCCTTTTACATGGTGAGAGGTTTTTCTTAAGCAGAATTTACCACCACTGTCAAACAAAAGCTAGAGATAAATTTTAATAACAAGATAAGATAGACTTTATTGATACTGGAGAAATTTACATGTCACATTTGACATAGATAGTCATTCAGATTGTGCAAAAAGATAGAAGTATGCAAACATGTTAAAGGTGAATGGTAATAAAAAGCATAAAAATAGTAAAAACCAGATTAAAACCCAGTTCCCTCACTGAAACATGAGCCACAGAGTCACTTCATGTTGTTGGAGTGCATTCTAATAGTTCCATAGAAACCCCATCTATGCCACTGAGCACACTGAAAACGGGTTGGACCCCTTTCGCAATTGTGGCTGCATCTGGGTACGAGGTCTGCAGTCTGTTCGAATCTCACACCACTGCTCTTCTGTACTGCGTGTGGAGTGTGGAAAAACACAGAGCGAGTCTCAGGTAGTGGAAATCAAAAGTAGGTGGACCCCAATCGGTGTCCTCCCTCCACACCACCTACTGTTAAGAACTGCGGAGAGTGGGATAGTACGATACAATAAAAATGCCTAAAAGCCAAAATGTCCATCAACTTGGCTTGTTCCGGGTCTCCAGCCTTGTGGGTAGTAAGTAAGTAAGTAAGTAATCTTTATTTATATACCGCCTTTCACAGACCAGAGTCACAAAGCGGTTCACAATTGTTATTATTTTTGGGCATTGGTCCTCTCGCTCCAGACAGAGATGGGAGCGGGGTCGCCAGTACAGGAGGCGCATGCCAGACCTATTGAGGGTCTTTTAGGAGGGCAAACAGCAGCCGTTAGTAACAAGTATAAGTAACTTCTCTCAGGTGTATAGATTTGTGAGCATCCTCTGGTTGACTTGCCATGGTCCGCTTCCCACACATCGGTCGTACATATGTTCTTTACTGCTTTCAGAGCCCGTCACCCTATTGATTTTATGTATTCATTTGGATGGGGCATTGTGTATTACATCAGATTGTAGACTTCAGTCCCCTGCACAACACATGTAGCCTTAAATAAAGATAAGATTAAATAGCATGTGTTTGATTTCTCACTTCATCTTGTGTGTTTTCATTTTGTCAGAGACCTGCTGTGTTATGAAGCGTTGGAGATTGCTTTACACGTTACTGAAGAACCCTCAATTGATCCCACTCCGAAAGCAGCACCTGCGCGCGAAGGTTCCTCTGAAGTTAAAATCCTCCACCCAGGCCGACGTGGTGGTGCAGGCCTGGCTCATGCGCTCCGAGACGGCCACGGAGATGGTCAACGAACAGTGCAAAGCTGTATGAACACTAAAGTCGGATCACAATAAAACTTAAACAGATACAAATACAAATCTTAGAGTAAATCGAGTTAACTTTTAAACCTCCTCAGTTTTTACCAAAAATATATTGTTTCTTTCTATTAGTCTGAAAGCAAAACTGAACTTTGAATGTATGTATCTGTAAACTGGAGGGGATTGTGTCTTTTGGAATATCATGTCGGCTTTTTGAGCCTTGTTAAATAAACCAACTGTTACGTTCAAGAATATTAAAAGGGATTTTTTAATTTTTTTGGTATATGTTTATACAAATCTTTATATTTTTAAGAAATTGAAATAATAGTGATGGGTCCAGCAACACTGATACACCGGCGCATGTGCCGAGTTCGTTTAGCGAAACCTCGTATCGGCGCGCGTGTCGCTTTATGAAAAAGCCACGTGACCGATACAGCCGCAGTGTCGCTTGCCACCGAGACGGCAAACTGTGTTTAAAAGGTTCCGCGTCTGCAAGTGTCACCGGTATGAACCGCTCTCAGAAAAAGAAAATAACCCTTTCAAAAAGGAAAAACATCCCATTTTACAGCATCAAAATGGAACCTGCCACTAAAAGAAAGTATTCTGCAGTGTGATACTGCAAATAAGGCAATGTTTGTATTTTACATTTCACGCTTTATCTACAATCAAGATTTAGTTTGAAACGGAAAATCTAGTTAGGCATGGTGGAAGAGTGGATAGTGCTCTCACCTCGCGTTTAAGGGAACCGGGTACGAATCCCAGTCGGACCTCAAAAGTTTATGTTGACATCACAGTCTTGAAGAATGATTTCGAGAAATTGCAGTATAGAAAATGTCAAAGGTTTTTTCAAGTATACTTTAGTTGCCAGGGTTTAGAGTGCACTTTGGACATGCTTATTGTTTTGAAAAAAAATAATATATACAGTGCCTTGCGAAAGTATTCGGCCCCCTTGAACCTTTCAACATTTTGCCACATTTCAGGCTTCAAACATACAGATATAAAATTTTAATTTTTTGTCATGAATCAACAACAAGTGGGACACAATCGTGAAGTGGAACAAAATTTATTGGATCATTTTTTAACAAATAAAAAACTGAAAAGTGGGGCATGCAATATTATTCGGCCCCTTTACTTTCAGTGCAGCAAACTCACTCCAGAAGTTCAGTGAGGATCTTTGAATGATCCAATGTTGTCCTAAATGACTGATGATGATAAATAGAATGCACATGTGTGTAATCAAGTCTCCGTATAAATGCACCTGCTCTTTGATAGTCTCAGGGTTCTGTTTAAAGCGCAGAGAGAACCATGAAGACAAAGGAACACACCAGGCAGGTCCGAGATACTGTTGTGGAGAAGTTTAAAGCCGGATTTGGATACAAAAAGATTTCCCAAGCTTTAAACATCTCAAGGAGCACTGTGCAAGCAATTATATTGAAATGGAAGGAGTATCAGACCACTGCAAATCTACCAAGACCCGGCCGTCCCTCCAAACTTTCATCTCAAACAAGGAGAAGACTGATCAGAGATGCAGACAAGAGGCCCATGATCACTCTGGATGAACTGCAGATAACTACAGCTGAGGTGGGAGAGTCTGTCCATAGGACAACAATCAGTCGTGCACTGCACAAATCTGGCCTTTATGGAAGAGTGGCAAGAAGAAAGCCATTTCTCAAAGATATCCATAAAAAGTCTTGTTTAAAGTTTGCCACAAGCCACCTGGGAGACAGACCAAACATGTGGAAGAAGGTGCTCTGGTCAGATGAAACCAAAATTGAACTGTTTGGCCACAATGCAAAACGATATGTTTGGCGTAAAAGCAACACAGCTCATCAACCCTGAACACACCATCCGCACTGTCAAACATGGTGGTGGCAGCATCATGGTTTGGGCCTGCTTTTCTTCAGCAGGGACAGGGAAGATGGCTAAAATTGATGGGAAGATGGATGGAGCCAAATACAGGACCATTCTGGAAGAAAAACTGTTGGAGTCTGCAAAAGACCTGAGACTGGGAAGGAGATTTATCTTCCAACAGGACAATGATCCAAAACATAAAGCCAAATCTACAGTGGAATGGTTCACAAATAGACGTATCCAGGTGTTAGAATGGCCAAGTCAAAGTCCAGACCTGAATCCAATCGAGAATCTGTGGAAAGAGCTGAAGACTGCTGTTCACAAACGCTCTCCATCCAACCTCACTGAGCTCGAGCTATTTTGCAAGGAAGAATGGGCAAGAATTCCAGTCTCTTGATGTGCAAATCTGATAGAGACATACCCCAAGCGACTTGCAGCTGTAATTGCAGCAAAAGGTGGCGCTACAAAGTATTAGTGCAAAGGGGCCGAATAATATTGCACGCCCCACTTTTCAGTTTTTTATTTGTTAAAAAAGTTTTAATTATCCAATACATTTTGTTCCACTTCACGATTGTGTCTCACTTGTTGTTGATTCATGACAAAAAATTAAATTTTTTAAATCTTTATGTTTGAAGCCTGAAATGTGGCGAAATGTTGAAAGGTTCAAGGGGGCCGAATACTTTCGCAAGGCACTGATATATATATATTATATACATATATATATCACTCAATGACATTTTGCTTAATGAATACATTCACAACTATCACTTTAATTTTCACCTAAAAATAAAATAACACAGACAATGCAGTTACGTAATATTGTGTACAGACAAGTATGTAAAGCTCATTGAATCAGTGAGTTGGATGCAATGATTTATCAGATCCACCAGGCGTCAGTATAGAGTAGCACAAGCAACACTGTTGCGGCACAGTATCAATACAGTTCGTTGGATGTGCCGAAACGATACGTGAGGATTCATTTACCCATCACTAGTAAATAAAAGACACAGCCCTTTAAAGAAGTGTGCATGTCCATTTATTCATTATGACATATGAAATAGATCAAATTAAATATTAGTTGACACAAAATATTGATTAAACCTCTAAACATCCACCGTTTTTATGTTTTTAAATGTTCTGCTGCCAATAGCAGATGTATTTTGAACACCAAACCCCAAAAGCTGTGTATCATTTTAAAGCTTATTTTCTTATCTACATTTATATACAAGTGTAAACTACATCAGACGTTGCATTCAAAAGATATAACACATAATGTGGGCACAAAATAAATCAATTCCGAAATAGTTTTTTACCTTTGGGCTTGTGCTGTACAAATAAATCAGCTCTCCTCCCAGCTTGCAATACATCATTCTCTCTGGAACAGTCCAAAGGAAAATTATATCCACTTGTATTTCCCAAAGTAAAATCCATTCTGCAGAAATAATCCAAAAATGTGCATTTATCTTTAGCGAAAAAAACGAAAAAAACGAGCACAGATGTTGCTTTTTCACTTTTAACGGACTTTTAGCTTTGTTTTTCACCCAAACTTCTGGTATCCACGTGTTCCTTAGCTCCTTATCTTTCAAATGAGACTACTCCCGAAAAGCTAGACCAATTTTTGGGTCTGCAAGAGCTCCCGTGAGTATAGCTAGCGCTGCTGTTTGCGCATGGATCACTGATCTTTGTTGTTGTCCCTATTTGTTTGCATTTACTTCTGGGATTTTTGATTGACACGTCCGTGTAGCCAATGAGGAAAGCTTTCGAGCAAGGGGTGGGACAATGGTGTCCTGTCTTATGTTGTGCCTGTAGAATTGTGCGTAATGGCAGCCAAAAGACGCTCTCGAAGCTGCAATGAATTTACACTCATAAAAAAATAACTTTGACATAAAAAAAAAAAAATAACCCATAGATTAGTAACTTATAAGTACCAATAATAAAAAATATTGTTTTTATGATGATTAAATGTCAGTAAAGATATTATGTTATTATGTGCACTACTTGATGAAAAGGAGAAACTGCATAAAAACTATAAAACTTAGAAGTCTGAAACTTTAGACAGTTGTTGTCAACAACACAATGACCACAGGGTTTGAATATTGTGAACATACAATGAAGTATGCCTTTTTTAGGGCCTTTAGAAATTGAAAATGTTAGCCGAGGCTAAAAAAATTGGGGTTTTTTTCCCAAACTTCAAAGGATGCAGAGGGAAATAGGAATGACAAACATTATTTTAGTGTTTTTTTACATAAACTAGAAGGCTCTAGCTTTAAAATGATGCATCACACAAGCATGTGAGATGTAAGATGTGTTTTTAAATAAGCAAAGACATTTGGGTATGCCCAACTTTTGTGCACAAGCCAAAATGAGGCGGGTGTTAAGAGGTTAAAAGGACATTATGTAATATTCACATTCACATCTACACCTGTTAAATGTGTCCCCAGATAATATGGACCAATTTAGCTGTTATTATGAAGTTGTGAATAAAGAATAATAAATTCTACATGTACACATTTGACATATTATGAAGAGTCAAACAATTCTCAGCTTCTCAGCAAGAAGGTCCTGGGTTCGAATCCCGGTCGGAACAGGCCTTTCCTCCAGGTACTCCGGTTTCCCCTACCTCTAAAAACAAGTACAATAGGTCTGGCATGCATGTACTGGCGACCCTGCTTCCATCTCTGTGTGGAGTGGGAGGACAAATGCCCAAAAAATAACAATTGTAAACTGCTTTGTGACTCTGGTCTGTGAAAGGCGGTATATAAATAAAGATTACTTACTTACCATATAGAGTATAATGAGGCCGTTGTTTGGGTCACCAGTTTATTGGTTATTTTTGTGTGTTAAAATATAGCACCACACGTCTTTAAATAAAAGCAGGTACAAAAAAATCCTACGTAATACAGAGTTTGTACTGTTTCTAGGTAAACTCCGGAAGGTGAATGCCATTAGTAATCAGTGCAGTAATAGTAATTATAGGAAATAATAGTTGCTTTGTAAATATAATAGTTATTAGAATACTATTTTGCATTGCTGTGTATTTCACTAGAGCGCTGTTGGCCTATATCCAGAGGTGTGTTCAGTTCACCTGCTGTTTCCCACAGTTTTATTGCTGATAACGGCTGCCCTCTTTGGCTCTGCGTTATTCATCCACCACCATGACTTGGAAGGGTGTTTTTCTGGGACTTCTGCTTGTCTGTGTGGCAGCAGGTACGAGTTTTTGTTGAAATGGATACGTATTTTGTGGTAGATGGTATTGTTGTCAAATGTAATTCTTTGAACCTTCTATTCAACAGAAGAAGATGTCGAGAGCTCTGGTCAGATGAGAAAGGTGACATGGGCAAAGTGGATTATTCTCCAGTGACCTCTGCCTTGTGCTCATTGGTGCTTTTTGTTGCTTAGGCTTCGTGCCCTGAGATGGAGGAGCTCATGGCGTGTCCCCTGAACCTCGCTCCAGTCTGCGGCAGCGATGGGAACACTTACGCCAATGAGTGCGCCTTGTGTGTGGAGAAACAGTGAGTATGAGCTGTAATTCCATTTTAAAAAATAGGTTATTAACTGTGTCACAACGGAAAAAGTCTTGTAAGAGTGTCTTATTTTTATTTAATCAGTTTACGAATCATATCACACTGTGTTTGCTGTCTTCATATTAGAAAACGTGTTATCCTTTGCATATGTGAAGAAAGATCCCTGTAAGTCACTGAGCAAAGGTGGTCTCCGCTCTTTTGCGCTTATCTCAGTCGGAAAAAGCTGAGTCAAAGATATGACAGAGGCCAAAAATACACGCGTGTGAAAATTAGGGATAGAACAAAACTGTCTGGGAAAGGTAAGCATAGTTAAATGTATTAATTACACTACCATTTATTGTAGGCTCCCCAGATTTGACAAGAATATGCAATGTGTAGGAATATTGTTGTTTAAACAAATATAGTGTCATATTTATTTATTTTCAGAAAAAAGGCTTAAATCTGTCATTTTTTTCAAGGTAAAAATACATGTTTAAGAATGATATCTGGCGCCCTCTATAGGAAAATGAATGTTATTTCACAGCCTCAGCTAACAAAAGCAGCAGATGGGCTTGTCAGTCTGTATCAAGTGAACTAACACTAATGAATATTATTTAAGCCTTGTTGGAGAAAACCTTGTTTCATGCAAAAGAAAATGATGTTTCAAACGTGAGATGTTTTTAATGTTTCTGTTGAATTATATATAAATACATGCTATGTATAATTCAAAATTGAACAAACCCATTATAATGGAGGATGGCAATTATTAATAGTGATCAGGTTCAACAATTCAACAATTCGCTATATATCTTACGATTAAAAAAACAAAACTATAGCTGTCTTTTGTGCCTATAATCATGTAACATCTCTCTTTACAGAATGACAAAGCAGGAGATACTGGTTGCCAAGGAGGAGAGCTGCTGTGGTCAATTAGAGTGTATCTAATCTGAGACGGACCATTTTCCCCGACACAAGGTGGTGGAGGACGAGGAAAATAAACAAGCATGAAAAGATTTTGTGTGATTATTTGTTATAAAAACACACACATAAGACAGGGTTGTGTGTGCCAAAGTATACTTGCAAGTTGTTGAATCAGTATTTTGGTAGATGTCAGTTTATACATTAGATTTTTATATTTATGTTTTAATGTTAATGAATAAAGTGGATTGCCTGGTGTAAAAGGCTGTTAGTCTTTAGTCACTGGTTGATGCTTGACCATTTCAAAATATAAGATAACGGCGAAAAGTATGATAATATATGGAACACATTAGCGTAATATTTGGTGTTTGTTTAATAGCAACATTTTTTGAAACATTTGCATGAGTAGTTTTGAAAAGAGTTAACTATAATAGTTTTGACTGCTTTTGTCACTTCCAATTTTTATTCTACCAAACAATCAACCAGGAATGTCCAAGCATTTATTTGGTCAATTACAGCAGTGGTAAAAAACAATCATGATTTCTACAAGACTGTGAAGAGGTGAATGTGCTGTAGGTTATGCTCTGTCCACTATGCAATCCGGGCAAACAGTGCAATCAAAGGGAAGTGGGAAAAAAGGGGCTGGTCAGAGAGTCAGCGCTCACACAGTAGAAAAACAATGATTCCAGTCTCAAAGTTCACTTCGAAAACAGGAAATGAGTCATTTCAACTACAGTAGCTCAACATAAGACTTCAGAGAGCAACACACACTCAACAATCCATCACAATGAAGAGCAAAGAAGAGCTTGTGTAAGAGACATTTAAGCTATATTATGATTACTTTGCACCAGTTTGTCAGGTTTATGTGATGTTACGGAATACTGCAGAATCTGAACTAAAAAAAAACCAATCCACAAGCTTTTTCATCCTGATCATTACGATGTTGGATTGATTTGTGCACTTGATTTATTTGACTACAACTACACATAAATACACATTTGTGATATATTCATAATAATCTGTAGACTGTTATGGTACCTACCTTTCAAACCACAAAAATAATAATCCATTTCATTCATTTCTGGCTCTAAATTGCTTGGTTCTATCAACTGTTTTCAGATGCATGTATTTTAAGCCTCTGTCACATCATTTGATCAGCTTTTTCAGACAGAAAAGTGAAACAGAGAGGGGCATCCTCACTCACCCAAAGAGTCCGATAGTGACTTTCTTACAAGTTTGCAACACGTTTTCCAAAAAGATAACAGAAGAAGAAGACAGCATGTTGTGATCCGATTTGTTCACAACATTTTGCTTTTCCTGCTTTTCCTGTTGGACAAACTAGGTGTTATTTTTATGGAAAAAAGTTAGGTACCCCCGATTTAAATAGGGTATCCTTGTCATTATTGCAGTGGGTTTCATCAGTCTTGTCAGGCATGCCCTTTGAAGTAATTCTATGTATATTATAAAAGGCAATTACAATATAGGCAATGAGTCCACTTAAAGTGTCGTTTTCGTGTTCCCAGACCTACTCTTCCACCAACCACGTGTGAGAGTGGGATTTCAATGCAGCTTTTCCTTCATATTTCTCTATTACCAGCGGTGAGTTCAACATAAAAATAAATGCAACTTTTGGCTCATTTAATTGGCAAACATCTGATTATGACTTTGATTACAGGTGATAATTATTGGGGTGCTTTCTTTTCTTCAGAGGCGGGCAGTAAAATTGTCCATTGACCACAAACTACCCTTTTTAGATGGTCGATTCGGGATTGTTGTGTGAGTTTGAATGTCAGTATGAAGCAAAGGCCACTATTTTTTATGTGCTTTCTTGTTAAATCTAAGGGCTTTATTGTTAGGCCTTTGGACACAATTGGCAGCTTCAGTAACCGTTGGTCTTATGGTTTTGCCTTTGGTGCTGTGTCCTCAAGTGTTCTACTGCTTTTCTCAGACCAATACATACCTTTTGATGTCCCGCCCTGGGCCAGAGGTGAGAGAGTTTACCAAAAAATACTAAATATTTAGTAAATTAATTTTTTTATGTCCTATCAGCTATTGTGTATTTGATTGGGGCAATGGAAGTCGGTGTGGCTTACTTTCCTTTATTTGCCTGTTTATCAACAAGCTCTCGAGCAGTAGGAGCTGCCCTTGGAATACTTTACTCACTTTGCTGGTAAAATATGCAATTATTTATCATTAATAAGATATACTGTTTGTGGTTGTTTGTTTGTAATTTTGTTATGTAATACCATTCATTAGGATCATTGTCACTGTTTGGGATACGTTCACCTGTCCTGGTGGGAAGGTAAAGTGACCTAAACAGTTATTTTAAGAACATTTTATTGACTATATCCTCTTTTTACATTAGATTTTGGGTAAATATCAGAAGTTGATCATTCAGTGGCCATGCATCCTTTCCCTCATCTTTCTCTTGGGACGATTTGTGTATATTCTGGTGAAAGCTATCCGGATACACCTTCAGTTGGAACAGGTGCTTATGTCATTGTATATTGCTAACTTGCTAACATTTAATGATGTATGCAGTTCTACTTTTTGTGGTGAAATGTTCCACAATATGGCTTTATGTTTTTCTTATTACTCAAAAATACCTTGACCTGAGCCGCCTCTCTTCCATCTTGTGGATCGCTTTTTGGGTCACTATATAAGGTTGCTTCTCATTTGGTGAAAGCCTGTAAATAGTTTTTAGTGCTCCTACATCTTACAAAAAACAAAAAATTTAAAAATGTAATTGCTTTCTTCAAGGAGTAAACATTAAAGGGTTAAGGCCATATTGTGGAACATTCCAGAAAAAATATATATATATCCAAGCAATAAAATGAATCCCCCATGAGTAAAGTTACACCTTAACAAAATAAATCACCCTTAATGTTCTATGGTTTGTTTCACAGGACACAGAGGAGTTGATGCACCTTCACCAAATGCAGCATGTTAAACGAGTTCTCAGAAGAACATCTGGGTTGACGTAGGTCCTTGTTAAAACATTTAAAAACAAAAGTGCATTAGCCTTATATTTCAATCTTTTTTTTTTGCAGGCAACCACAAAGTTGGTTCCAGAGAAAGTTTTATGTGTGGGATGCACATTTCAAGTTTCCTAACAGGCTCATTGGCACTGCCATCATTTCTGTTATTGGTTTATATACGGTATTATTTTAAGATGATGGTTTATCTGTATTTGTTTTTAAAAGAAATGCGATTAATATTTTTTTCAGATGACGCTAGCCGACTATAGTCTCAGTACAGTCGCTTTTGGACAAATCGACAAATGGAAAGAAACACTGAAGTATTTGACGCTTTCATGCAATGACACTCAATCTATTGGAGCAATGATTCCAGACATAGAAGAGCTGATCGATGTTTCAAGAAGTGAGTTGCCGATTATTAAAATATGACTTTTCTATTGAGCAAAAGTTGAACTGTCTGTTTATGGTGCAGAGTGCTGGCTCGCAACCACTATTTTTGCAAGTCTCAACTCAGTGGCTTACACCTGCCATGTTCTTGTATGTTACAGGTGTGAAAACTGTTTCAAAATGCAGTTGTTTAAAACATAAGACAAATAGGATAAGATAACTCTTATGTGACAAGACTGATTTTTCACAGGAAACAAATGATGAGACTGTGGAAAGGTCAGAAGACTTTTATACCAGATAAATTCCTCAACACAAGCTCAGCTGTCAGTGTGGTAAGGTCAATTGATTTTATACGTTTGTTATCGTCAGAGGCAGCATTGACATTCAATGCCACATCCTTATGTTTGGTGATGTTTTTGGTGATTTATTTCGAATGAGAATAAAACATGTAGTAATTTGTTAGGTTCTGACAAGCTTTAAATTAAAGCTGCATTTGTATAATTACCTTCCATCTGGCATGTGCAGGCTTCAATTGCGAGGTACTCCGGATGGCAGATTGCTTTTACTCTTTGGGGTAGGATACTCTCTTTACATTCATCACATGTATTTGAATATGTATCATTAACACACTTTTCATTGTTAGGTTACCTGATCGTCCATTTTGTCCACTTCCTGTTAGCCTTGACGTTTGTTTACATCTTTATTCTCCCCATTCAACATGGACAGATCCTGGCTTCGCTGAAAAACAGTGGAATCATATTGTAATGAAGAAACAGTGAAAACTGACTAATACATCACCATTTCAAATTACATGATTTTATCTTTTATTTTTCTTCAGATTAACAATTGGTATAGTGATATTCCTTGTGGTAATTCAAGTGGTGTTAGTGCAAATATTCTTCCTCCAGGACAAAATGTCACCAACTGATGAACATAAACCAATAGCCCTAAATAATCGGTGGGTTCATTTTTTCTGGTCTGTCCATCTCCCTCTGACAAAACTCTTCACCCCTCTGATGTCCTGAGGTGGTTCCATATCCACAACAACCATTAACCAGAGGCAACATCTGCCTCTTGTTCTAGGAAGGCGTTCCACTGCTTCAACTACTTCTTCTTCTTCTATAACGTAGTTATGGGATTCAGCAACTGCATCTTCAGGCTGTTAAACAGTGTTATCGTGGGGACGTGGCTGGTCTCCCGCATTGACCGGACCATTATGCAGAGAGGATATGAACATATGGATCCAGGTAGAAACCCCATTTGAATGCCCAGATTATCCTGACATCTTGTGATATGGACATTAAAAAACATTTTTATAATAGATCTTCTGATGAAGATAAGATAAACTTTGCAAAGTGGTATTTTTGTTGTGTCTTTTCGTTCAGGACTTGTTTCTGTTGTTCTCTCTAATTATAGGTTATAGAACTTGGGTTGGAATGATCATTGCTGATCACTATCACACCAACCCAGTGATGGTGTGCTTCTGTCAGCTGCTGGTCTCACACACTCTGGAGAGACAAGGCTTATCAGCATACTCCACATTCAGCAACTCACCATCTGGTCAGTGCTGCCTCTGCATGTTCCTCCTAGGTGTTGTCACGGATCCCACCTGTCTCTACTTTTAATTATTTTGCAGATCCTTCAGTAAACAACAAGACCCGCAGGCGATGGGCATTATTTTATACTTTATTGAGAAATCCTCACCTGATTTTACTGCGGAAACACCACCTTACTACGGCTTCATGTTTAACGACTCCCCAATGCACAGACACAGTGGTGAAGGCAGTGGTCCTGGCCTCTCAGTCTCAGAGGAGTGGAGCTGAGATCCAGGCACACCCAGCCCCGGAGATGGACACGCCCGAAGGGAAGAACCTCCCACCTGCGATGTAGACTTTGAGCTGAGACCACCTGGCTGTGTTTGTGATGTGATTAATTTGCCATGCATTCGAAATAGTCGAATGTTTCCTTACTGTGGAAGGTAGAAGGGTAGTCTGAGTATTGTGCTTTTCCGTAGTCACGTCACGGACAAGTGAGGATGCTTTTCCATAATAGAGAAACCACGGAATTATACTGGGTTGCACCTGAAAATTCTGTCTTTTATTATTATAAAACCATGTCTAAACCTCACCTAATGGGATTATTTTTGATTTATGTTGCCGGGTGTGTGTTTTGTTCTGTAAATATGGAATTTGCAATATATATAATATATTACTTACGGTAAGTTTTTTCAGACTTACCGTTAGAAAAAATAAATACAATGTAAGCTCAATGTCTGAATGTGGGAACTATAGTTAAACTAACATTGTTTCATTATGTATTAGCAGGATAAAATAATGCTTTAGCGACGTGCTCATTAGAAGATGCCATGTCATTCACGCATGCGCTCACGTGCTTACGCAGTTCACGCGGTCACAGCGACACACTCCGAGCTAACTCGAGAGCAAATCATTTGCGAGGTGAATTTTAGGTAAGAGTTTCTCTTGCTGTTATCGTTTTCAATTGCATGTTCGCATCCTTTATCCTGTCGGAGACGTTGTAACTAACTGTTTGCGGAGTTCTGTTCTGCATTGTTGCACAAAACGCGCAGTTTTAAGTGCCACCGTGGGATAGCGTTAGCCGATGCTAAAGTTTTTCAGATTCCATGACCAACTTTATTGTAATGGGTGATAATATTCTGTTGCTTGATGATAATAAGCATAATTTATCTGTATATATTATAATGGTAATGCTCCTTTTTTTAGGCCGTTGTAAGTTGGGACACGTAATATATCATGCAGTGTGATAAACACATACACATACAGCGAATGTAGATTTATCTGATGTTGGCGGGTCACATAACTCTACTAGCGCTAGTTCATCTTAAAATTGTGACATGTTTCGCAATCGCCTGGTCGGTGGCTCTATCATCCAAAACACGTTTTATTTGGGTTTTATTGTTTTTAGGATGGCAGACAGTGAATCCATAAAGAAGATGTTGAGGTCTGTGCTACAGTCCAGTAAGCACGGGGTGTGCATCTCCAGCCTGCAGGCAGAGTACCGGTCCCTCTGCGGAGAGACTATCCCTCTGAAGCGACTGGGCTTCTCTAACCTGGAGGACTACCTGCGCAGCATCCCCTCAGTGGTCCGCTTGGACTATCGACAAGGCGTTGTAGGGCTGATTTATTTGATTTGAGATAAATATCTACACGTGTTTTTGTAAATAATTGAAATGCATTCATATTTGCACAGATTGTTTGTTTTGCTGCTGTGTGCAAAGAAACTGCTCATATCGCTGAATTGGTGGCACGGCAAAAAAACTCCAAGAAACGGTCTCAAGTTGTGAACTGTAGGATGAGATTTAAACCCTCCAACCTGTATTCATTAAATGGTTGGTTTCCTGTTTATATGTTTATGTAGGTTTTACCATTGCAAATTAATATACTTTTATCAATTGCTTTAAAATAAATGTTTTAGTGAAACCAAAGACGTCACTTCGGCAGCCGTCTAACTGGAACACACAGAAACGACCACCTCAAGGCTATGGAGGCTTCAGTGCATCAGGAGATGTCAGGTAGAGTGGAATAAGAACTTTTAGTTTTTGATTAAAACAAATCTTCAAGAATATTTATTTCTCATTCTTTATAAATATTTGTTTATTTTATCGGTGATAGAAAGTTAGACCCACAGTATTCTGCCATCCCTGTGCAGCGGCGGGCTCCAGTTCCACAACCAGCTCAACATAATAATGTGAACAAGTAAGACTCTCGATTATATGCACAACGGATTTTACATGAAGTACATAGCTATCCAAACAGTAACATTTACTATTATTCTTTCAGTAAAGAAATGGGGTTCCAAGTAAACCAAAGGCCTCCAGGTACTCAAAGTACCCCAATGTACATTTGTCAATATGATCAATATAATTGTTTTATTTTTTCCCAAGGCATATCTCAAACTCAAAAAGAAAATATTGTGCAAGTGCATGTAAGATTCGTATATACAATATATCGTAAATTCCAGACTATAAACCGCAGCTTTTTCCCCTCACTTTGAAATCTGTGGCTTATGCTAAGATGCGGCTCATTTTTTTTTTTTCTGTGGCGTCAAAAACCTTTTGTCAAATAACAGTAGACTAGCAGAATTAATGAGTCGTTCAGAGGTCCAAGTAAATTTTATTATGTCAGTCAGTCATTTGTACTAATTCTCGTCAACATGGAAAATGCTAGATGTAGATCTATTAGACGGTATATTACAAGTTTACATCCACCAGTTGAGAAAAAGCATTTATAATATGTATTTGTTACCCAGCAGATTAAGTAGTTTGAAAGTCCTCACTTATAATAACTTTGTGTAAATATCTCATCATAGTTTTTTGCTTTTCTGTTCAGAAATTAAATTGAGAAGAGTAATGGTAGACAGTGCTCCTTATCTTTTTGCTTCACATTGGCAGATTGCGAACAGCTGTCATTTCTTACAGTAATAAAAACATGAACGTATTTGAGCTACATTTTTCATCAACGATAAGTTTATAATCTGGTGGGGCCTGTAAAAGTACCAAATTCAATGTCTATCTACAAAATTAGACTGCGGCTTATAGTCTTAATACGGTATACACTTTAAAAAAGAAATATCATTCATTTGGTTTGATATGTTACTTGTATTTGATTCATCCAGCCAAATGAGTTTAACTTGGAGATGGAGCAGAGTAAACTTATTGAAATCTTGAAAGAATATAACACTGGATTGTGGGTATCTAAACTACAAGATGTGTACCGTCAAATGTTTAATCAACACCCCCATCCCAAGACTTTTCAGGAGCTGGAGAAGTGGACGCACATTTGTGCCGTAAGTCTGCAATGTAGCCTCGTTTTATCACTTTTGAATTGCAACTTTGAACTGCTTAAATATACTGTCGTCAACAGCTCGAGAAACCATCCATCACAAACAGAGCCGATTGTTTGATTTACCCTTCATTACCTTCATTACCTAACGTCAGACAAAACACTGGATCATCAAAAGGCCCTGTTTCTACGCCGCATTCCTACAGCCCGTCAACTCCAGAGACTGCTGCAGCCAATGTTCCCGTCTCTTCACCTGTTCCCAAACCAAGAGAAATTCCCAAAGTCAATTTGAGCAAACCTACTTTTATATATCCTGCAGGTGATAGTTTGCCAATGTCCAATTTACGCAGTCCTGCTCCTAATCCAGTATCTGCTCCCCAATTTATAAATGGCGGGTATGGTGACATCTCTAACTCCTCTGCCAAAGCGTCAGGTCAAATTCCATGGTCTCAGCATGTACCCTCCAATGTGGCACATTTAGTCCAGCAGAGAGAGACCCCTGACGTTCTCTCCCTCTTAAAAGCTACTTCGAACACAAAATCGGATCTGCCTCAGAGTCCTGTTGTAGCTTTTCCTCGCACGATCTCAGAAACTGTGCGACGAAACGTGAAGGAACTTCTCTTAAAGTATAGCAGTGGTCTTTGGGTTAAGGCAGTGCCACAGCTCTTCGAAGACACATTCAAAATGCCTCTTCCTGAACATGCCCTCGATGACTTATCCATCTGGGCCGACATCTGTGATGTGGAGTGGCCTTACCCTAAAGACAAAAAAAAGGTGAGATTAATCCTACAACTGCTTGTGTATAAGTACTTTTTTTGGGTAATAGAAGGTAGAGGGGTGGTATAATTAGTTTTTCCAGCACTTGTTCTTTGTGGTCAGGCCATCCTTTATTACGCCGATCGAGTAATGGGAACAACGGAAGAGCGAGCCCACCCTCTTCCTTCAGGCCTTGAGGTGGTGGGGTCCATAGGTCCTCCACGGTTGGCTCTCCCTTCAGAGCAGTATCCATCCGTTTTGATCACTGATGCCAAAGGCAGCAATGCTGTTACTGTCAGGTAGGAAATATTTAAATTCACTCAAATTGCACATTTGAGCCATTGACTAGTTGGGAATAAAATATCTACTCATAGTTCAGTGCAATAATATTTTGTATTATAAATATATATAATATATAAATTTTTTTATTAGGGCTGTCAAAATAAATTATTTTTTTTACGCGATTAATGAAAAAAAAAAAAACGCATTTGTCTCATGTCTCAAATGATCCGCCTGTGCATCCCATAATAACACTGACGCGGACACATGCGTGTGTGATGGCGACATAGCAGGTAGGCATTAGTTAACATTAGCACAACTTATCACTGATGAAATGGTACAACAGCAATGCACTGCCAACAAAATATACGGTACAATAACTGAAAGATGACCGCTAGTTTCACGTCCAAATGCAGTCCGAGGCAGTCCCGCTCCCTCAGGTCTCTCCAGAGGATGGACGCTACCTATGTTCACCCGGGCTTCATTTCTTTGATCCTTTTTTCGCTTTAGTTCCCTCTTCTCTTTTTCGCGTCTTTCGGGCTATTTTGCTGTGTATGCAGTTACAGCCAGAGGAAGTATAGCCACTTTCAGCTGCCATGCTGCTCTTGTTTTCATGCACTGCAGACAAATTAGGTTTAATTTCCTGTTTATCATTCTTGTATTTTGATGGTACCATATTTCGCTTTTCTTAATTTTCCACAGTCAATCTTACATGTGTGATAATATGGGTGATAAACCATACAACACTCAAAACACGTCAAATTATAACCATTTCTTGTATAGAGCTGATTAGCGCTTGGATTAGTGCTCCTCTGCCTGTGAGCCCACCTCCCCTTGCCCGCACGGTGTAAACTGTACAGCTTTTGCTGCTACAGTCATTTCACATCTGAGAATAAACTTTTTTCGACAATGGCAACCCTTTACATAAAGCCCTAGGTCCTCAGTTGAGAATCAGACCCTATTATTATGTTCACAGTGACACATGGCGATTTAATTGCATTGTACTCACAGAGGCTTATGTTGGAAATGACACGTTTCCAGATTAGCTTTTGGGTAGGTCCCGTTTCAAGGTAACCATAGTTCTGGAACAGTCTTTGGTGGTGTCACCTTCACTCGCAAAAAAGATCTGAGTTTCGTCGCAGATTTCAGACACGCACGGATTCGACGCAGATCCCCATGACCAAAGGCGATCCCCATTCAGTCTTTGGGCCAAATACTCTCGTCAAATATTTACAACACATTTTCTCCAAGTTGACATGAAGCTAACACAAAAAAACACTCTTATTTACTGTCTGGACCAGACGCTGGGCTTAGAGAGGCTGCAGCTGACCATAGACGGTGCAGGTTCAGTTTCTCCCCGCTGTCAGTGATGCTTTTGACGTCACGAATTGTGCCACGTCATGATTTGAAACGGCTCGTTTCTGCGGCACGGTGGCTGAGTGGATAGCACTCTCGCCTCTCAGCAAGAAGGTCCTGGGTTCGAATCCCGGTTGGACCAGGGCCTTTCTGAATGGAGTTTGCATGTTCTCCCCGTGTCTGCGTAGGTTTCCTCCGGGTGCTCCGGTTTCCCCTACCACTAAAAATATGTACAATAGGTCTGGCATGTGCCTCCTGTACTGGCGACCCCCACTCCCAAAAATAACAATTGTAAACCGCTTCGAGACTCCGATGTGCAGTGAAAAGGCGGTATATAAATAAAGATTACTTACTATTACTTACTACTTCTGTGCCTCCAGAATGAAAAAAGATTGCTCTCTAACTAAAACTTGGCGGAATCAATGAACAAACCGTGTGTATGAAGGCCAAATAGCACTGTAATCATGTTTTTAACCAGAGAAAAGTCAAAAAGCGTAATATTGGCCTTTAACTGTAATATAAATAAGTGAAACATAGTCTCATCATTCACAAATAAAACCACAAAACTCAAGGCAGTGCGTATAGAAACAGTGCATTGCATATAGGAACTAAGTGCTTCTGTAACATTTAAGAAAATAAAAAAGACCCTGACCCCAGTCGTGGGACTTCCCGACTCACTTAGCTGTGTTTTGTTTTTAAAAGTTTGTCTGCATATAAAGTTTAGTCTCTGGTATAAAGACTGCAAAAGATGCAATGTCCACCGCTGTATGAAATGACAGTGATGCTACAGTTTTTGCCATCCGATTAGGTTATCAGTCTATACTCATAGCTAAGCGGCCGCCACCGTGTGGAATGAGACACGCAAAGGAAAGGGCAGAGGGTAGCAAAAGCAGGCGGGGGCGAGCGCAGCACAGAGGAGGCAAGCAAGCAAAGCGGCAAAAGTGATATATACGATTTGTCAAAATTCACGTTGAGCTTAAAGATTCTCAATAGATCGGCCACCCCAATCAATGATGATTGCTCTTGTTGAACTTGTATTCAATTTAGATATGTTGGCAAGAACTACTCAAATGCTCAGGAAGCCATGGAGGAAGCCATGCGCTGCTTTTATGGGGAAAGATTGGCTGGTTACTCTCTGAGTAAGGTCACAATAGGGCAGCTTGTTGCTGTCAAAGAAGAGGACGAAGAAGTGGCCAGAGCACAGATCATGGAGGTCATTAATCCACAAAAGGTTAAGGTAAGTTGAGCAGGGCTGTGGTTTGCACGTAGTTGGATGTTGAATTAAAACATATTCATTTTAGGTGTATTACTTGGACTATGGCTGCTGTATAGAGACGAGTACGCAGAATCTCAGAGAGCTCCATCAAGATTTCCTCTCTCTGCCTTTTCAAGCTATTAATGTTAAACTGGCAGGTAATTACTATTCTTGTTATTACAACACTTAGTGCATCACGTTTCATGTCATCTTTTTTTTCAGGTCTTGAACATTTAAGCTTGCACCCATTAGTGGTCTCCACCCTGGAGAAACTGGCTGTTGGAAAGATCCTCCTTATGGAGACATTGGAACCCTGTCGGCCGAATGAAGTTCCTCTTGTAGTATTGTTTGACACCTCACAGGAGGAAGATGTAAACGTCAATGCAGGCTGTCTAAAAGCTCTGCAGGACGAGACCATGAACAACCCTCTCCTAGTATGAATCTGAAGTACTCCAAATGATTTGGATACGTTTGTTGAAGTGTGTTGCCTAAACCCAATCTGTTAATTCCAGACAGAAGTCGCTTATCAGAATGTTCGTGTCACAAATGTAAGTTCTGATGGGATCATCTACTGCCAGCTGCCATCAAGAGGTACGGCACGACTCTCAAAATTACTGGAGGAAACGGAGGCCTTCTTCAAAACTCAGGTATATTCTTTACTTAAATATACTTTTTCTGTAATTGGCCAAAGAGTTTCTTATGAGGGAAGAATAAGAGTTGTGCTATTCTTAATATTCACTTATCTTGTGATCTCATTCCTACTCTTCTGTAACTTACGATGCAGCACTGGAGATTCCCCACTGTGGGCTGAATAAAGAATCTCTTCACCTTAAATGTAATATATTTTTATGTCTCCTGGTGATTTTAGGTTACATCAGAATCTCTGGTCTCCAAACCTTTCACTGGAATGTTGTGCCTTGCACGCTATCAAGAGAAATGGTCCAGAGTTGAGGTATTTAGTATTTGTTAATTAGAATCCAATCCAATACTTTTAATTTACAAGTTCCATCTTGCAGGTCATCAGTATTTATGGCAACAGGGTTCTTGAAATTCTGCTCATTGATTTTGGAGTGACTTCAACAATTGAAGTCACTGAGCTGCGAGAGATCCCACCTCCATTACTTAAGGACTTGCTTGTCATCCCACCTCAGGTTTGTTCAAAATGCTGTCATGGAAGGGTCATCTTGAGGTATAAGTTGTATAACTACAAACATGGCTCTAGACATTTTGGTTGGCTGGGCTCTGTGGGTGTGTATGTTTATCAAGACAATGTATATTTTATTGAGTTATTTACTTCTGTAATTGTATCACTGATTAACTGCCCCATGTACGATGACTATATAATTGGCAGCAGAAGATTTGTCCCTAAAATAAAATCCAACAAACTGTTGACTCTAGGCCATCAAATGTATCCTTGAGGATGTCAACGTGCCAGAGGGAGGCTGGAGTCTAGAGGCTGTTAAATGGGTGAAGGAATTGGTTCTTGGTGGTGAAGCTACTAGAATGAAGGTATTATTATGTGACCAGCCGTTATTTACAGAAACAATATTGACTTTCTATTATACTTAGATTTGTAGAGTTGGTCACCATAATGGAAACAAACTTGTCTACATGCACTTGTTCATTGGAGTCGACGCTTCAGGTGAAGACAGCATCAACAATCAGCTGTCTCAGTCAAAGCTCTGGCAGAATCTTCTGACGAAACATATAAACAACATCAAGACAGCCACAGGTAAGGTTTTTGTAATATTTTAAGACAAATTCTGTGAGGCTATGGATGCCAATGTTTTATTTCCACATGTAGGTCTGAGTGAACTTGTAGAGAAGTTGAGCCTGAGCAGTTCTGCACCTTTTAAAAATATTCCAGTAATACCAGTAAAAGCCACTGGATTACTGAACGAGAAATGTAATTCCCCTTTGTCAATGCCTCCAATCATTGACCTCCCGCAGGTAATGTATTGCATATGTACACAAGTATTTATAGATCATATAACTCCTGTGTGTTTATTATTTTTAGTCTGGCCAAAACATGGATGTGTTTGTGCCTGTGGCCTGTCATCCAGGACACTTTGTGCTACAACCATGGCAGGCCCTGCATAAACTTGTGGTGTTAATGGGGGAAATGGTTCTTTACTACAACAAAACACCTAAGACTAGCCCACAGCCAGAAATTAAAAAGGGAGAAATCTATGCGGCGAAAGTTGACAAAAAGTTGGTCAATTGATATTGCTATAAATGTTTGTTTTTTTTTAAATTCATTTAAATTTTGCTCTTTTTGAAGCTGGCATCGTGTGCTTGTTAAAGGCATGTTATCAAACGGCTTCATTTCTATTTATGAGTTGGACCATGGCAAACATGAGTTGGTTCGAAGCACAGCCATTCAACCTTTGATTGAAGAATTTCGACAACTTCCGTTCCAAGCTATTACTGCTCAACTGGCAGGTGGGTTTCACTGCAGTATGTTTAAGTTTGTCTAAAGCCACGTTCAGACCGGATCATGCATTGCGGTGACTTTCAATGCAAAGTCAATTGTGTCGAGCGTGCACGGCAAAGGCGCAACAGAGGCGCAGGAGCGGAAAGTCTGGACACAGAGATGCTGCAGAGCTGCATTTTTGGAGAAGAACTTTACACAAAAAGTTGCTAGCTTAACTCCTATAGCATCAAAGTCCGCCCGCTACTTCCAGCGGGTGCCACCGCAGGCCATGACTTCTGGTCTGAACACCCCTGCGTCTGAAAAATAGAGAATGGGCGTCTGGTGTGAGTGGAAGCTGAATGAATGAATGAATGAATGAATGGTTTATTTTGGTTGATTGGTGCATTTAAATCAACACAATTTACAAACAATGTTAACAAGCTGCGTTCCAGCGTTGGCGGTCTGAACAGGGGTCCCCAACATTTTCAGACTGGGAATCCCAAAGGGAGCTTTAGACAAAATTTCTAGCACTGATCTAGAGCATTTTGCCGTCTTTATATTTTGTGCTTAAATATTGTTGGTTATACACAAGATTCGTTATGTTCCACAGGTTTGTCCCAGCTCCAGTGGTCTGAAGAGGCGGCAATGGTCTTCAGGAATCACATAGAGCAGCGTGCGCTGGTGGCTCAGGTGGATAGTGTGCAGGAGGCTCCAGACTCCAGGGCGTGTCCCTGGGAGCGAAGGCTCTCTGTGTATCTGGTGGACACCACCATGGAGGACAGAGACCTGTGGATTCACACCATCATGGCTGATCTGGGTGGTGAAAATACCACTGCAGCCTAACTTTGACATTGTACTGTTTGTACCACCACATCATTGTAAAGTTCATTTAAAAATCACACGCATTTATTCGAAAGGTTTACAAAGTGTATTGTTTTTGCTTTGACAATTCTTGTAAATATTATTGTGAAATATTGTTTGTTTGCTCACAAGTGTGTTGTGTGTTTTATTTGGTCCTTCTTGTACACAATAGTGTGGCACTTAATGTTGTGTCTAAATATTTTTAATTCATAATTCAAGTTCCTGTCAAGTCATGTAAAGCCTATACTTAATTTCACTTCAAACTGAAATTTTTTTAATCAGAAGTTCATTAAACCTTTTGTGTGGTTGAAGAGTATTGTCGCTTGTGGTCTCTGCTGTAGGACCATATTATTGTATGACATCAGTGTGACAGGGCAGCCGCGCAGGGGGAGGAGGAGGAGCATCCTCACCTCCATAAGTTTGTTTGCCCTTAGTGGGAGATGAGGTCCAGTCTGTGCGCTCTTTAACGCACTAGCGTACACTGATATGGCCGCAGTTATTCACTGAATAGAGAATTACTTAGCGGGGTCCTGTGGATGTGCAAGCCGCTGCTTTACGCACTGAACGAAGAGAAGCGTTTGTGTCTGCTCCACTCTGCTCTGAAGGAAACCATATCTGGTCAAAGTATGCGCCCTGTCACCCGCCGGGACGCCCGGCTATAAATAGTGCTGGAGGAGGTACGTAAATGCATGCTAAACTTAAAAAACAAACTGTAATGGAGGTTGCTCAGCCTCCATCGTGCATCCTGTTAAAACTACATTTGAGTGCGGGAGAAAGTTATTTCGCTTTTCTGCGTTTATGCTTGTTTATTTGCATTAAACAAAGGATATGTTATTGGCTGTTGTGGGTTTCCCTTTTAAAGTCGTGCGTCCTGACAGCGCACCTGTTAACCCTTTCCTTTGAACCCCGCTACATGGGATTAGTCAGACTGCTAGTTTGGAATGAATACTATTGGTGAAATGGGTGTGTGGATTATTAACTTTATCATAGACAAAAGCAGTCTTCCTGAATATAAATTGTGTCCGTATAGATGTTCCATTTGATATGTGTTTTGTAACTAATTTTCATACAAATCTTTACATAAGCCATCTAATCTGCGATGTCATGGCTCTTGGAGTTTGTTAGTAAATTACACTGCCTTCTCACACCACTATCTTGAATTATCTGGATCTATTCTTAGAGGCTTAATGTCTAATGGTGCAGTGTGAGAGTCATGTTCTGTGATCAGTGTGTCTAGAACGTTGCACTGACTTGATATGTTGCAGGTCTTTTGGACTTCGTCAGAACCAGTCCAATCCTGCAGAAGACTTCTGGCCACTTTTGTCTTATGAGTTTGTCTTCTTGAGAAGCCCAGACAAAGCAGAGTGAAGAAACGGCGCACACAAGGTCAGCCCAGCCTAAACACGCTCACAAAGTAATTTATATATGCTAGATCAGTGGAGAGTCTACCCTGCTCACAAATCCATGTTGTAAAGCGGTTGTAAAGCGGTAGAATAAGGAATTGGGATGCAAAATAAATGAATACAATAAAAATAGCTGAGGCTGTGGGTCCAGGACAGAGTATGAGTCCAGAGCTGAGGCTGTGAGTCCAGAGCTGAGGCTGTGAGTCCAGAGCTGAGGCTGTGAGTCCAGGACTGAGGCTGTGTATGCGTTCAATAGAATTGAAATGTCTTTTGTATCTATCTGTTTTAAACAGAAATATGTGTTTAGTACAGTATTTCAGTAGTGCCCTTAATATTCAGAACAATGGATGGGGGAGGGGGGTCAGCTGTGCTCTCTGACCAGGGTTTTGAAATGTCTGTTGTGAGCATTTTATAATTGCTCTGCGTTTGACCCACATATGTTTGATGATCAGTCAGAAGTGTGTGCAGCAGCTGAGAATGTGGACCTGGGAAAGTGTGCATTTCAACCATATATTTGGTTTATCTTTGGTTGACTTGTAAGTGCTGAGAGAAAATAAGCAGACCCATTCGCTTCACAGCAAAAGGGTCTGCGACAGGATACAACACCGGCTATGGAACGTTAGTTTATACTGGCAAAAGGACTGTGGAGCTGCTGTAATGGATTGATAAAGAAAACTTTCTTTTTCATATTGTAATGTACTTATAAAGGTTATAAGCTTCCTGTTGGAGGATCAGTCAACTGCTTTTTGTTTCACAAAAATGTTATCCCTTTGCTTTGAACAATATAGATTTACACTTATCCATTCATTATTATTGCTAAAATACAGAAGTCTCCTGTATGTCTCCATGTATTCTCTTTGGGAAATTGAATTTTCATAAAGAATGAGAGCTTTCGGTTTGTTTGCTTTACAAGCATACATTGTGCCTCCATATGAGGTCAAAATGATTGTAACACAATAAGTGATGTTCATAATGCATCATGTGTTGATGAACTTTTAAACTTGTTTTTGCTGGGTTCTTATTTATAAACTGAGGAGACTCTCTCTTGGTCTTATCTCCAAATATATTCCTGACAGCATCTCCATCTATACACGACGCTACTCTATAATGCTGGTAATCGCATGCAGCAAATTATTAATTTATTGACCTTTTTAAGGGGATTTGTCCGGCTGAGATTTTAGAATTTATTTTTCAGGTATTGAACATGTTTTAGTGGTAGAGAAATGGTATGCAGACACGGGGAGAACACACAAATACCAGGTTAACCCTGCTGCGCCCTAGGCCCTGGAGCTTGCTGATAAATGATAAAGGCCACTGAACTGTCTGTATCCATATCTTTTTGTTCTGTATTTTCTAGAGCGCCAGGCTCTTTGCTGCCTTTGTGCATCTTCACAGAGTGAGTTCTATCCATACATTTGTTCTACTTTAACCATGAATTTATACTTTCTATTACAGAAAATCGGATTTATTTTCCTCCCCTGCTTCTTCAGATCTCCTTGGGGCTCTCTTTAGACCCCCATATTTATAGTGTTATCTTCTCTCGGGGGGTTTTCAAGGTAAGACATAATTGAATTGTCTTGGGTGCTGTCTGGAGTGTATATTAGATCCAGATTTCACTTCCAGCTCAAACTTATGTTTCCAGGTGTACCACCGTCCATCATGTCAGTGATGAGAAAGGAGATGGAAAAGTACCGTGACGTGGACGAGGACGAGCTGCTAAAGAAGCTGTCAGAGGAAGAGCTTCAGAGGTTAGAGGATGAACTCGAAGAGCTGGACCCTGATGTGAGTGGGAAACATGATGGCGACTCACAATACAGTGCATGCAGTGAGTGGTGTTTTTTGACAGTGATGTTCCAGTTATTTAAAGCCTGTCAAATGGTTCAGGCAAAGATGTAATGTATGACAGTAACGTAAATAGTTTCTGTACTGTTAGTGCAGTGCCAGCTGATGCTTTGTCAATTTGAACATAATTATTCACAAGATTCATATTTTGGAATTCTCACAAATTAGTCACTGGATGTTTTTAGTTGTTTGATGAATGGGTTAGTATTCGTCAAATTGGGTTTTGCAGTGTTTCCTTGCCGATGCAGAAGGGTCTGTTAGTGTCTAACAAGAAGGACTGTGGTGATGATCCAGGACACAAACATTCTTCAAAATTACAACATTCATGGACATTAGTCTCTTCGTATGGACCATATGTGTTCTATTTTTTGTGTGTCTTAACTGTTGATTCTCTGAACTGTGAGGATTTCAGTGGTTTCGTTAAGTCCTCTGAGATGACAAGATGTGATTTAGGGCTATACAAGAATGAATTGAGTTGAAGTATAGATCTATTCAAAAAATTTGATTTGTTTAGTACAAAGGCATATCTAATCATCTTGTATGTCAGAAAAGCAGCCGTTCAGGCGTCAATCTTGCGAGCTTTATACTGAAAGACAAAGAGGCTGAAGATGATGGGTAAAGATGAATGCTAAAGGAATGCAAATAACACATTTCCCTAAAGAGACGAATTACTTCTCTTTACCTACCTTAAAGTTTGTTTTACTCCACCGTAAAGACATATTTTATATATTATATTAAATATTATATTTAACTACTATTTATGTTTGAAATATAAATAGTAGTTTAACACTACTATAGGAGTGTAGTAGTAGTTTTTTCCCTTTTGGGTAGTGATGGGAGCATCCCTCCACGCATCTATTTCTGTAACCTGACTGGTCAGGTCCTTGTAGTTTGCTGAAACGCCTCTGGTGGAGCTTGGCAGAACTACAAGGATCTGCCGAGAGTCAGGTTAACATATCTGTCCAAGATGGTATGAAATTTGGAAAATCTTGAAAGTGTTCTTATATCTAATAATCTTGCTATGTGAAGAGGATAATCTAAACTGAGGTAAATAACATACTTACCACAACAATGGAACTTTTTCATCTAATCCATGTAGCTCTAAAAAAGTGTGGTTCTGTCTCTAGTTTTCACATACATTTAATTTTGGCCTGTGTCACATCTTGGACGTAACTTCAAGAGTAAAATTGGAAATCACTCTGCCCAAACAGTCACTCACAGGGATCTTACTTATAAATATGAAAAACACTACATGTTTTCTAATAACATCATTACATAATAAATAAAATACTCTTAAAACGGAGGTACTTGATTTTTTTAGGTTCTCCATCTTTAAATCCAGAATTATATGGAATTATCATTTTGTGTGGCACACTGTGGTTCTCACGTGTTTGTTGTAAGGCCAGTGGTGGAGTAATATCCTTTGTAGCTGCAGTAATATCTTTTGTTTGGATGCTCAGTCACTCATAACGAGGCTGGAATCCCCCACAATGCCAGGGGGACAAGTGAGAGAGAGCAGGCCTGGCATGTGTGTTTGTTTATAGCGTTTGAGCGACTGAAGCCAGCAGTGAGTGGGACCGGTGGAGACACGAGTGACGCGCACACCGTAAACTCGCCCAGCTGAGCCCTACGTCTGTTTATGGGCTATAGGGTATTTCACAACAGCCAAGTGCCCATTTGGTTTGGAGCATCGTGAACCTTTTTGGCAGAGCGGCCTGCATCACTTCCAGTAAGCCTCTGAAAACAGTCCAGTCATTCTGCGCTGTGCACTCAGCTGCTGTTGTTTAGGATGGTTTCAGAGTCAGGGCTGGATTTAGCATCATCCCCAAGTCTTACTTTGAGGACTGGATCTTACTTTTCACTGAACTCTCTAAAGGAGCTGAGTTTCCTTTTCATCTTATTTTGTTTCAAGCATATATGAAATGAATATCTCAAGCTGGGTTTGGCAACTGGTTTTCACACGGTTACTATTTCATTTAACTAAACAAATCAGAGAGGTAAACTTGGCGCCATCATTGGGTGTCTGCAGTTTTCCCATGTCTGGTCTACAGCCAAATATTGGTCAAATTTGGATCAAATGTTAGTCCAACTATTGAATTATATTTATACATCATATATTGTACAGGACTGCAATTCAATGCACTTTACAAAATAAATGGCAATGCAGAAATGGTCTAAGGATTGATAATCTAGTAATTTAAATACAATTATGGAGCTTTATTAACATTTATAGACATTGATCACCCCACTCCTTATGGAACAATGGCTTTTATGTGTTTTAGTATTGCGATTCCTTTTCCAAACTTTGATTCTCTTTACTGATTTTGGTGAATCAACGATGTTGGTGTTACAAATGTAACACAATTGTAACAAATCAGAAAAGACAATGAAGAAATAAGGGCACTACCTAAGGGTGAGGAAGTCTACACAAGTGGGGCTTTAGTTTACTCATAACTTATCTAATTTATTTAGGCAGCTTGTTCCATTTATGACGGGCATAATGGGAAAAGGCTATGTGCGCATAAATGAAGCTTATGCGGAAGTTCAAATTGGTAGACTACATACATCATCGCACCAGCTACACCAGCATCAGCTACATTAACTCCCTGCAGCCGTGCTAATCAAGTCAGCGCTAAAAGCTGGACATCGCACACTAAACAGCCTTTCAAGCCACCACCTCCGCCTCAGGATTTTTTCAAACACTCACATCCACCTTGCCCTGTTGCCACCAGACTGTGAATGGCTTATAAGCAACCAGAAGGACTTCAATGTCAATCTACCCCTGAGCTCAGGGTCAATTATAAGTCTCAGATTTAATATTTGTATTAATCCAAAACCTAGTCTGCAGCATCATCTGTTGTGTCCAAATCATTTCTCTTCATTGGATCAATAAAGTTGATCTCAGTCTAAATCCTATACTGTGTCAGCAAAGACATGATTTGTGGAGTGGTTGGAATACTTCGGCGCAATGGAGTTTGTGAAATTCTGAGACTCTTTTATTGTGTCTGTCTGTTTCATGTACAAATATAGTACATTTCTGTCAGAAGAGGCTCGTGCTGAAAATAACATGAGGGCTGCATTATCTGAAGTAGAGCTATGTGATATGATACACTGGAAACCGACAATTTGAAAATAACTCACTGAAGCGACTGACAAGGCATGAAATCTACTGAAAAAACTACTGTGTACTACTATTGAAGCTATATATTTGAGATTTTAAAGCTATAATGCTAAAGAGGCATTGGGTGTTCTTGCCTATTCTTCATTTACAGCTATTTAACTTGTTATGGCTGTATATCTACAAGTATTCAACTCACAATAATACTATTGTTACATAAAGTACTGTATATGTACGCACTAGCCAGGGAAATTTGATTTGACATCAATATCTTTCTTTTTTTGTTACAGATTGTAAATACATTTATATCTGAAGTCGACAATATTTAATTTCCTTTTTATATTTCAGGCTTGATAAGATTAAACTCATTGTCACATGTTTTAAGATTGGTTTGAGCTAAAGCTGAGGTACCTAACTTTCAAAACACAAAAGTTAACTGTGTTATAGACATTTAGATCTATTTCAGACATAAACCTAAAGAGAGGACCTCATTCATCAACTCTAAGCCCAAAGTGTCAAACGGTGACTCTCAGGGCTTTCTTAACAGATTTTCTTTTGCATACCTGCTTCTCATAAAATAAACCCAACATGTCATCTTTTTGGTTCACAAAAGGTTATTTTTACAAGTTGCTTTCTGTTGGGATTAACAGAATCTACTACTGTATTTCTGAGGTGTGGGGGGAGAAGTTAGGTATCCCAGCTTTAAATGTTGATAAAGCATAGTACTATAAGCAAGCTCTTGTCTCTTCCATTTATTTTCAGAATGCTTTGCTGCCCGCTGGATTACGTCAAAAAGACCAGACGAAGAAAGCTCCAACCGGAACATTTCAAAGAGACAATCTTTTGGCTCATTTGGAGAAACAGGCCAAAGAGCATCCCGACCAAGAGGACCTGGTGCCCTTCACTGGGGAGAAAAGAGGTACCGCCGTCACACATTTTGAAATCCCCTGTAATTGAGCCCAAATCTCAAAGTTTCAGCCGAATAATATTTTGACAACAATTGCATTGCGTCTCACTATTTCCCTCAACTTGCGGTTTGAATGTGTACCTGCCACCACATTTGTTGGTGTACTGAAGATGTAGAAAGAGCTTATTCAATTAATGTCTAAAAGTGTCAACGTTATAATGATGGATAACAAGGAAATGCGACAGTGTGGCTCATTAAAAAGTCATCTCTCCCAAACATACAGACACACAAATAAGTTTAGCTTTATAGTGGATTCGAATCACGTTTCTATCTTCTCCCAAAAATCCCTATCTGTTTTTCACAGCTGATATAGAGTCAAAAGTGGAAGTGTTGTGGAGAGCGTCGACTGCCAACCCCTCGGCTTCTGTGTGTTTAATTTTAGCAAAGAATTACTCTACCCGAATATTGTCCTGCAGTCACATCAGAGCATTGCAATGGACTGTGGTCAAAAGTTGGAAGCCTTCAGAACATGCAACTCTCGTTACATAACGGGGGAGGAGGTGGTTGGGAGACAGAATGTGCACTCAAGCAGCAGAAATCACATTTGAACGCAGCAGAAAGGCATTTGAATTGAAGTAAAAAAAGAAAATAGAGCTTGTGTTAATTGTAAAAATACATACAATAATATTTTAAGATGATATTCGTCCCATAGTGGAGAAATTTCAATGTTGCAGCGCACATAGAGGACAGTAGTGGGAGCACACAGGGAGCACACAAAATATACAAAATAGTAGCTATGTTTCTCATCTGCTGTAAATGCTTCAACCAGTCTTTCCAAAAAATAATATATATTTATATGTAGTGTTATATACTGTACATATAGGGCAGGATAATAAGTAGATAAAGTAAAGTGACATTGTTCAGTGGACATTCTGAAGTTGCAGTATTGCACATTGCACATTTGCAATTGAGGTAAACTTTATTTTTGTTTACATAAAGCTGTTGCCAAACTGCAATACTCAATAGGAAAATGTGTGCTTATATCAAGCTATTCTAGTACAAGACATCAGGCACAATTAAAGGTACTTTATGGATGGATCCCATATAAATAGTGCCTCTGGTCACAGTGCTATGCTAACAGAAGCGGGGGATTTGCCATAATGTGTTCCTAATTGAATTGCACAACAGTTTTTTAATGGTTTTTCTTGTGTTTATGGATTAAACAGGGAAAGCCTGGGTACCAAAGAAAATGGTAGACCCCATCATGGAGTCAGTGGAGCTGGAGCCAGAGCTGGAGGAGGCTCTTGCAAGCGCGACAGACGCAGAACTGTGCGACATAGCAGGTACAAGAAAATAAGTTTGGATAAAGAACTGCAAACGTTAATGTTGATTTTGGTGCATTTCATCCTTTAAGCTGGGGTGCCTAATTTTGTATAAGTTTTTTCACATTTCAGCTTTTCCATAGAGAAATTAAAAAAAAAAAGAGGACCCCCTCAGCTCAAAAGCGTAAAATAGTCACTCACAGGGTGAGATTAGAAAACATGTATGTTGTAGTTTAATTAGTTCAAAACTTTTTGTTTTTGTGACAATGTATCCCCGCTCTAAAGTAAGACTTTGCACCTTTTAAAAGACTATATATTAGGAATATTATAATACTTTATTTTAGCATTGACCAAAATGTGAACAATTCAAAAATAACCAGATTATGTGTTTATTATGATATGTTACCTTCCCAGAGGTAGTACAAGATGATGTGATAAAATTAGATGCGTGGTAGCCTAATTAACCAGCCATTGCTCACTGTGCTGTGACATTTGTAGATCTAAATGTTTTTTTTTTCTTCATCTAACATGTCTATTTAGCGTCACCTCCACCTTCACTGCTCCATTCTCCATCTTGCCTCCTGTAACAGACCACCACCCACTCTGGTATCAGCCCTGCACATCCACTGCATGCCATCTTGCCCTACTCAACTCTAAACTGGCATGTGCACTTTTAACTTAAATAATACTAAAGAATTAACTCATTATGCTCGTCAGTATGTACCAGAGACTGTGTATAGATGGACAATGCTAACTTGTAAGGTCAATGAAGCCCAATAGGATGGTTTTTTTCTCCAACTCGCTCTGGCTCTTATTGAATTATGTTGAAAAGTAAACCATTTTGGGCTTGGTTTAGTACCTCTATGATCCTGGGGTTTTTATTTTGATTTTGTCTTTATGAATAAATATATGAGCCATAAGGATTGACCAATCAGATTCCTTTAATCACCGGAATGGTTGCAAGCTTTCCTTAGCAACCATTTTAGCAACATGTTAGCTTGCATCTGCCCCTGCTACGGCGTGTAGGTCATCACAAATGGCTAGATAAGGAAATTGCCTCCCGCCAGCTGATGATCAGATTGACTTCTTCCACATTCGGAAAACTCTATGGGTGTCATTAGCACTCGGTCAGTCCACTTCTAATATACAGTCTATGGTATGCACACGGAAATGAAGGAAAGAAGCATGATTTCATTGTAAAAGAAATTGTTGTAGAGAACTTATATCGCTGTTGAAAATCCATGTCTTGCTTACATTGAGTAGCACTTGATCATTTGCATCTGTTCTTTTGCTTGTTCAAAATTTGATCATCTTTCTAAGCTCTGGGGGTTTCTTCTGATTACTTGTGCATTATGTCCACAGCATTGTAATTGTTTCTTTCTTGCAGCCATTCTGGGCATGCACACTCTAATGAGTAATCAGCAATACTACGAAGCCCTGGCCAGCAGCACCATCGTGAACAAACAAGGACTGAACAGTAAGTGAGACGCGTTTGATTCAAAGCACATCTCTCCCTCGTCCAAAATAACGAAAGCACATTTTGTACATAGTGGTTTCAGTCTAGAGCCGTCGTTTACACAGCGCAGCGACGATAGCACGAGCTCTTAAAAGGGGTTTGACGGGAGCAGTTCGTGTAAACAATGGAAGACACAAAACAAGATGGTGACGTTGAGAGAAACATTGATGCACAGAACAGTTTAAGAGTGTTTGGATAATCCAGACCGATCCATCCAGTAACTGGCTCCCTGTTTTTATAGTACGCACCAGCCATGTTTGTTTCATTACAAAAGATCTGTCTTTAAGTATATTACATACAAATGTATACTTGGTTTGGGATGCATTTTTAATACTGCTTCATTTGTTGTTAAAGAAAAGCAGCTGCAGCCCATCTTCACATTTGACCCGTCCACATTAATCTTGGTTACTTGTTTAACCCTTTAGGCACCTAATGTATTTTCAGAAATTGAACTTAAAGCAGACATAGGTAGGGCTCTGAAAGAGACAGAGGACAACACACTGTATTAAGTAAATCATAAGACAATGTCATGAAAGATTTTTAAGCAGCCAGGGCACCCGAGAAAGTGCCATGGAGCCATAATTTTGCGCCGAAAGGTTTCTTTTTGGGAAAATCCTTATTCAGACCATGGTGCTATTTTGTACCTGTTTTAATTATGGTTGAATGATCATTTAAATGTACCTAACTTATATTTTTTCATAAATAATACAATTTGATTGTTCTCAACATTATTTTGTTGGGACAAGTCAGACCACAATATGTTTGCTTTTGCATGTATGGTCTCTCCACGTCTGCTCCAGTTCCTTCGGAGTGCTCCGGTTTCCTTTACCTCTAAAAACATGTACAACAGGCTTCAGTTGTCCTGACCAAGCCGAGCATCAACATCTGGAGATGGGTCTTTGAGTGCTGCGCTGTGGTGACCACTGCTCCTTACAGGTTGCTGCTCTAGTAGCATTTGCTGGATTACTCAATCAAAAAGCAAATATGGAACGAAATTTATTGGATAATTTAAACTTTTTTAACAAATAAAAAACTGAAAAGTGGGGCGTGCAATATTATTCGGCCCCCTTGCGCTAATACTTTGTAGCGCCACCTTTTGCAGCAATTACAGCTGCAAGTCGCTTGGGGTTTGTCTCTATTAGTTTTACACATCGAGAGACTGGAATTCTTTCCCATTCTTCCTTGCAAAACAGCTCGAGCTCAGTGAGGTTGGATGGAGAGCGTTTGTGAACAGCAGTCTTCAGCTCTTTCCACAGATTCTCGATTGGATTCAGGTCTGGACTTTGACTTGGCCATTCTAACACCTGGATACGTCTATTTGTGAACCATTCCATTGTAGATTTGGCTTTATGTTTTGGATCATTGTCCTGTTGGAAGATAAATCTCCTTCCCAGTCTCAGGTCTTTTGCAGACTCCAACAGGTTTTCTTCCAGAATGGTCCTGTATTTGGCTCCATCAGTCTTCCCATCAATTTTAGCCATCTTCCTTGTCCCTGCTGAAGAAAAGCAGGCCCAAACCATGATGCTGCCACCACCATGTTTGACAGTGGGGATGGTGTGTTCAGGGTGATGAGCTGTGTTGCTTTTACGCCAAACATATCGTTTTGCATTGTGGCCAAAAAGTTCGATTTTGGTTTCATCTGACCAGAGCACCTTCTTCCACATGTTTGGTGTGTCTCCCAGGTGGCTTGTGGCAAACTTTAAACGAGACTTTTTATGGATATCTTTGAGAAATGGCTTTCTTCTTGCCACTCTTCCATAAAGGCCAGGGGCCGTATTCCTAAAGATTCTTAGTGCTAAAAGTTGCTCCTAGTGGCCAAATTCTAAGAATTTTCTTAGAATCTTGACCAACTCTTAGAATTTCCCCTAAAAGTGAGGAGTAGCTCCTAGTTAAGATAAAAGCTATTCCTAAAAAATCCTAGCTCTTAAGAGTGCTCTTAAGGGGAGATCCCTTAAGAGTTGAGAGGAGGACTTTTAGCGACTTAAAAGTTCCCTAAGAGCACAAAATGGTGGACGGTGGAGACAGGAGAAATATTCTATACACTGGATGACAGTGAATCAGTGAAACGCTACAGATTCAAGCAGGAATCATGTTTGTGGTATATTTAAAAGTCAATCATGTGACCAGCTTCTCATTGGCTGGTCAGCAATAACACCTCATCCATTTTACCTTTGTTATACAAAAGTAAGTAGAAATGGTAAAAGTTGAAAGAGGAAAAAGTGGTCCTAAATTGTCACACATTCAGTACGAATGAATGAATACTTTATTTTGAGCCATGGCAAACAAGAAAAAAAAGGACAAAACAAACAAAACAACAACAGAATAGAAGTACAAATATACAGCAATACATACAACAATCCAGCTCAAAAAGGAGTGGGAGAGGATAAGACTTTTAAGCTCCCTTGTACTTGATTTGTACAGTGTATGTATAATATGTTTATATTAATATTGTTTCCTTAATTCCTTATAAGTCTATACATATCACAGCCTTTACTAATCCTAACGTTATCATTATCATCATTTATCCATATAATATTTATAATAATAATTTTCTTTATCATGTATATTATATATAGAGTAATATTTATATTATATATATATATATATATATATATATATATATATATATATATATATATATATATATATATATATAATTATAAGTGCTCATGATATATACGTATTATGTGATAAATTGGTGCTGAGCAAGCTCTGATGATGGTGTATAAGTCTAACTTTACTATTCACAGTATTTATGTACCATTGATATATCTGACTTTATAGCTTTTGGTTATTATTTAATATAACACAGTGTTCCTAAGATTAGATTCCATGATTGAGTTTGTCCATTTTAGGGCCCTTATTTTGCCTATTATCATCAAAAATGTTTGTTCTAACTTTTAGGATCAACCAATCACAGCGTCTGAAATGATGACTCATACCTAGCAACGGGGTCGGCCACGCCTCCTCACTAAGATAAAAGTTGTTGTCAATTCCTTGCTCAGAGTTCTGTGTTCTGGAATAACTTTTAAGCTAAGACTCCTAGCTAGGAGTTTTTAGGTTAAGATAAGAGCTCTCTGAGAGGACTCTCAGAATCTTTAGGAATACGGCCCCTGATTTTTGCAGTTTCACGACTGATTGTTGTCCTATGGACCGACTCTCCCACCTCAGCTGTAGTTATCTGCAGTTCATCCAGAGTGATCATGGGCCTCTTGGCTGCATCTCTGATCAGTCTTCTCCTTGTTTGAGATGAAAGTTTGGAGGGACGGCCGGGTCTTGGTAGATTTGCAGTGGTCTGATACTCCTTCCATTTCAATATAATTGCTTGCACAGTGCTCCTTGAGATGTTTAAAGCTTGGGAAATCTTTTTGTATCCAAATCCGGCTTTAAACTTCTCCACAACAGTATCTCGAACCTGCCTGGTGTGTTCCTTTGTCTTCATGGTTCTCTCTGCGCTTTAAGCAGAACCCTGAGACTATCAAAGAGCAGGTGCATTTATACGGAGACTTGATTACACACAGGTGCATTCTATTTATCATCATCAGTCATTTAGGACAACATTGGATCATTCAAAGATCCTCACTGAACTTCTGGAGTGAGTTTGCTGCACTGAAAGTAAAGGGGCCGAATAATATTGCACGCCCCACTTTTCAGTTTTTTATTTGTTAAAAAGGTTTAAATTATCCAATAAATTTAGTTCCACTTCACGATTGTGTCCCACTTGTTGTTGATTCATGACAAAAAATTAAAATTTTTATATCTTTATGTTTGAAGCCTGAAATGTGGCGAAATGTTGAAAGGTTCAAGGGGGCCGAATACTTTCGCAAGGCACTGTATGTGTGACACCAACTGTTAAGAGTGGTACTGCTTACACATTTCTAAAGCACTTTTTGACCTTTTCAAGTCACTCACAGCTTCACGTCAGGGAACCCTTCACTCATTCATACAGCAGTGATTCCAGGAACTGAGTGGGTGAATTTGCTGTGCACTTAAGAGTCAATGTCCTTCAAAGTTGAAAAGTCCTTTATGATATACAGAATCTAACCAGCTGGAGGTCATTTCTCCTCTGCAGTGTTCTTGTGTGTATTCAATAGTGAAAGTATGTAGAATTGTAAGGATTTTCTGGTAACATTAATGTGTGTAGGTGTGATCCAGTGCACTCAGTACAAACCGGTGCCGGACGAGGAGCCAAACTCGACAGATGTGGAAGAGACTTTGATGAGAGTGAAGAAGAATGACCCAGAGCTGGTGGAAGTCAACCTCAACAACATCAGGGTGAGCAGGGCAGTGGCAAAAGTACTAGTCTTAGATAAGAGTTTTTAAAAAAAATGATGATTTATTTTTTTATTTTCTGCTTTTGTGTCTGTAATGTTCGTATTTATGTTCACTTTTTGATTTAAAATGCAAATAACAAATAAAAAAGTACAAGTCCATGAACTCTGTTTCGACAATAGCCCTAATCACATAAAACATGTCCTGTGTATTTCCCTGACACATTCTTATGTCCTCTCTCTTCTGTTCACATAAACACATCAGCTCTGAAGATGTCCAAGTCTCCTTGTAACCAAATGAAAAATGAATACATTTGGCCGCAGAGCTCAGAGAACTTAAAAAAAGTAGTGGCTTATAGTACAGCAAGTAATGTAGTAAAGGTCACTACCCTATTTTCTGGACTATAAGCCGCAGGCTCCAATTTTTAGAAATAGATTTTTTTTGTCCGAAAAATATTGTACTTGAGTAAAACAAAGAGTTACTTACCCCCTCTTGTTTATTGAAACGCTTCCTGCTTGACCTTGCGTGTTTCTTTCCTCAGAATATCCCCATCCCGACTCTGAAGGCCTATGCCGACGCTCTGAGGACGAACTCTGTGGTGGAGAGGCTCAGCATCGTCAACACCAGGAGTAATGACCCAGTAGCATTTGTAGGTTACCCAGTAAATGAAAGTACTGTACCGTATACACACGCCCAGATCTTAATAACTCAAATGTGGGTTTTTTCAGGCACTTGCAGAAATGCTTCGAGTAAACACTACTCTAAAAAGCCTCAATGTGGAATCCAACTTTGTCACAGGAGCTGGAATCATGACACTGGTGGAGTCCCTGCAGTTTAATACGACACTACAGGAGCTTAAGATCGACAATCAGGTGCAGTATATTATCCTCTGCATTGGTGTTACTCCGCTGAGAATGAATCTTTGTGGGGCGACAGTGGCTCAGTTGGTGGCCTGAAGGTCGTTGGTTTGAGCCACTTTTCGGACACAGGAGCTATCCTCGAATAACATATGTCTTTATGTTCTCTTTCCTCTAAAGGGAGACATTAATGAGACTGTATGTGAGATTAAGATAAGATATGAAACTATATTGATCTCACACTGGAGAAATGTACATGTCACATTTGGCATAGATGGAAGCACTCTGAGACTTGTGCAAAAGACAGAAGTGTGCAAACATGTTTAAGGTTAAAAATATAGTCTGTGCAGGATATAATTATGTACAATAAAAGATAAAGTGGCGATAGCATTGCAGGTTTTTTTCAGTCCTAGTTGTAGCTGGAACCCTGTGTCAGACTGAATACAGATTTATTCTGATAATTGACTGTGTAGGCCAGGTCATCTGGCCCAGCACCCACCTCTCTCCTTATTGGTCAAATAGCCCTTACACAGCCTGGGTGTGAATCTACAGTCAATAGTCATGAAAAGAAAGGAAACTCATTGAATGAGAAAGTGTGTCCAAACCTTTGGTCTGTGCTGTATGTGTGTTAACGTTATTCAATTCAATTCAGTTTATTCTTGTATAGTCCTTAATCACAACAGCAGTTTACGAAACCGTTGAAATTGCCAACACAGATCAGAGAATCAAACTGTTCAAACACAAAAACAATGGAACACATAGGTATTGGTTCATAGGGAGGGTATAAAACCAATGAGAACAAAACATACTGTTCCTTCCTTCTTAGACAGTTTGCATATGTTTACATTTCTATTACTGTTAGTTGTAAACATTCCCTTTTAGAAAGATTCTTAATCCTATAATGGAACAAGATAATTGCGATAACAATACTTCCCACCTTTGCTCTGAACCCCACTTTGGAACAACTTTGTAATTACGCATACAATACCCTTTTATGTGCATATTGTAACAGTACATGTGTATTTTTTATATTTCCTATCACACCAGAGCCAACCCTTGGGTAACAAAGTGGAGATGGAAATTGCCACAATGCTGGAGAAAAACACTACCTTGTTAAAGTTTGGCTACCACTTCACTCAACAAGGCCCTCGCCTCCGGGGATCCAATGCTATGATGAACAACAACGACTTGGGTAGGTGGTTCAGCTTTAGTACAAACCCTTACTATGATCTTATTCACTCCAGAGATCCATATTTAGTATTGGTCGTAATGTGTTTGGATTTGAGCTCTATTAAGTTGGACACTCAATCTGCACAGCATCTGTTGAGTGCACTCTAATCAGGCGAACAGCAGTGATCTCATCGGACTGTAACTTTGGTTTTGAGCGAGAAAACTGAGCCAAATACTGCGGCTTCTCCACTTATGACATCAGCACTTGAATAGACGAAGAGCACAGTTGATGAACATGAAAATAAAGTGAGGTCATTTGTCTTCTTTGGGATGCATCATGATCTTTCCTTCGTCATTTGAAGCCCGGGTCGTCAGGTCAGAGTCAGACGGCTCCATCACGTTCACTCTCTCAGTCCCGGAGCTGGAGAAAGCCTTCGGGAAAAAGTTCAAGTCTAAAACTAAGTACAGTGTATTCTGATTAATATCTTTTTTCTTTCTGCCAATATCTTGCGCTGCACCTGCTGCCACTTTCAGCTCTCAGAAGTTTGAAGTGTCTCTTCAAAGCACAATGATGCAGATTTGTTCTGCCGTTTCCCACCGTTTGTTCTTTCAAGTCGCCTGTGTGACTTTTGAGCAACATTTTCATTCCATCACATGTTTCATTACACGGGAAACAGACTGATTATACAGTATTGTTGTGCTTGTTTACGCCCAATCAGAAATCTCACATTTTATAACAGTTGAGAATGAGGCTCTTAATCAGGAGCTGTCAAAAAAGAAAAACCTAGTTCCTGTGAATTCCTGGGCTGCCTTGGATGAACTACACATTTTAGATCTCTCCAGATAGCCTCAAACATGTGATCATTTTTAAAAAGAAATTAAGTTTAGTAAGTTAATTTGAAAATAGAAAATGTTTTTGACAATATATGGCATCACACAACCACTAACAATGAATGTGATCAAAGTTTGTGTTGTCTTCTTTAATTATATAGCACCTTTCACAGACCAGAGTCGCAACGCACTTCACAAACGTGGGCCTTTGACCACATCATCACTGCATGCCAGACCTAATATTATACATGTTTTTAGAGGTAGGGAACCAGAGGAAACCTAGGCAGACACAGGGAGAACATTCAAACTCCACTAACAAAGGCCCTGTTCTGACCGGGATTTGAACCCAGAACATTATTATAGTTATAGTTATTCAAAACTATTGTAAATGTCACTGGGTTTGTAAACTGTATATACTGTATACATAGCTGTAGTGGCCACTATATGGTAGTTTAAATGAATCTATATGATCAGCCTGCCCCGGGACTACAGGTGGAAATTAGCTTTACTTTGTTTTAACCTGGTGCAATACATCTCTCCTTTTGAGTTAATGTTTAATTGTACACTGTCCCTGTTCACATGAAGTACGTACCATTTAACAACTGATAACCATTTCGACCAAGATCATTTGAATGACTGTATTGGTTATAATCGTAATGAAGACTAGGATTCAGTGACAAGTTGATAGGATTCAGTCAAAGTTAAGCAAAAAGCCACAAAGAACTAATGCATTTGAATGAGCTATAAATCAACCGTGTTAACATTGCAGGATAGGTTCTTGGCAGAGACGTGCGCTTTTCACCGCTTCAAATATTTTCTGTCCACTGTTCTTTGCACGTCTTGAAATACTGAACGTGTGACCGTCTTGTGCAGCGCTGCATATTTTTCTGTCCTGCACTCGCATTGTCCTGTCATCTCGCAAAAACGAATCGTCAACATTATCTCGGTGTGGATTGTTATGATGAGAGCTGATTTCTTTTCTCTTTTGGTTTTTGCAGTAAGAAAGAGAAGGCTTGAAGGAGGACCCATTTTCCCCAAATGTCGGACAAATGTTTGATTTTCAGAACTATCTCCAGACCTGCGTCGCCTTGACAAGCTCTTTTCAAACTCTTCAGGTTTCTAGTGACTTATCAATGGTGCCTTAAACATTTTTCTTTAACTGTAGCCGCCAGAAATATTTATGTATTTGCGTTCTGTGGAGTGTTTTGTTTAGTCGAGTTATTGTAGTTGAGGTAAAAACTTGACTTTCTGCCTGCGACACAGATAAGCCGGGTTTATTCTCCTTTAAAAAATCACAATGTGCACTCACAACCCAACTTTAAGTATCTGAAACTTTATGGTGCCTCTCAGATCTACAAAAAAACACATGTGTTTGTTTGTGGGCAAGTAGAATGGTACAGAAAAAGTAAATTAATTGCACTTAAAGCTGGGGTATCTAACTTTTTTTGTTTCTTAATTCATACATTTTCTATTATGTACAACCCAAAGAGCATTGTAAAAGTAACATTTCGTGAACAACCACATCATACCATCTTCAGCTTATTATTAAACATTTTTATCGTTTGCCTACTTCCCTGTGAGCCACTATTTGACTTTTTGGGCTGAGAACTGATTGGCTGAGTGAGGGTGGTCCTCTTTTTCCACTTTTGTGTCTGAAAATGCTCACAGAATCCAATTAGGTTCGTTTTTGTTTTCTTGTTGGTGATTTGAAAGTTGGGTACCCCAGCTTTTAAAATGTGTAAAACAGATACACAGTGAGTTTAATTTTGGGTGAGTTGGTCTGGGCATTGTTCTTGAAACCGTTTATTTACTGGAGCTAAATCTAGAGTGAGATTTATTGCTTTTGTTGTCCCCATTAGCTCCATCTAATCATGACGTATGAAGAGCTGTTTTAAAATAGTGGCCAATAAATTAATGTTTTATTTTTCGATGCTGTAATTTGACTACTGTTTCTAAAATCTCTAAAGGATTAGATATTTTTTTCCTGTAGTTCGAGATATTTTACTTGAACAAAGTCCCTTTAATCGGGACGACACACATTTCTGACGCATGAGGGTTACACTGTAATATATTCCTGTTTTAAGTCACTGCTTGTTTTACATTGTGTTGTTGAAAATAATGTAGAGGATGTAAACATTTGTAAGCAATAAATGTGTGTTTGCTTCACCCATGCTGTTATTTGTCTTTCATTATAGAAGAGCGCCATAGAACTCCTAACAGTGACATCTGCTGGCGAAATGTGGGAATTGCACTGTCACAGCAACAGAAAATCATTCCAATAAAACAATGTGAATATGTGATCAAGATTTCCTTTTATTAATTCTCAGGCAAAATCATAAAAGAGAAACTCATTATTGCTCATGGCATTTTATTTCATTGCATGTGGCTTTCCTTCAACCGACGTACATGATCGTTGAATTATTGTGTGTCACAAAGAGACCTTTAACATTACATGTAACAGAGTAGGTTATAAATAAAATGAGTGAATCCAGTAACCGTTTTCTTACTAAAGAGTACACTGAGTTCTGGCTTTATGGCTGAAATCGTTAGGCCATGTACTTTGTGCATACTACAGCGCACAGTAGCCTAATTCTTTATTATTGAATCAACTAAACAAAACCCAGCAAATCTATAAATACAGTAGGCAAACATATCTAATCCTTATACAGACATCGACCGTGGAAACACACTCAAACTCAAAGCGTTATTGCCGTATATTTAGCATGATCCAAAACAATATGAGTGTGTGACTTCACAAACACAACATGTGTGGACATACAGTAATGGCATGCAAGACACTTAAGAGATGGAAAAGTACTGCACGACACAACACGGACACGCGAGGCTCCAGACCGTGGACCACAACACTATATACAGTACGACAAAGAAAGGGGACTGCGAGTGCAAAACCGCCACGACAACATGAGGAAACACAACATTACACTAACTTTTAAAATATGGCTTATCGAGTTATCACATTATCTTTTATTATTTTAGACACACATTCAGTATTGGAATAGTAAATGATTGTTTGCCCTGCTTGAGGCTTATTAGCTATATTTATGTACAAACCAAGTGAACAGCATAATTTATATTTTTATGCATTTTTATAGATGTGCAGCAATCAAGAGAGTAAAGGAGGTTAAACATCTCAGGCTACAATGTGTATTGATCCCTCTACTTGCTGTTGACATTTATCCGGCTAACCTCAGCCTAAACTAGTAATATTCTACTACTGGCTCAGATCTGTCTCATATGGCCCTTTAGCGATCTCTGATTGGTATCATAGTCCTTGACTACATAGATATCTCCACTCCCTCGGTTAGACAAAACCAAGTTGGACAAACTACATATGAAATAGAAAAAATAATACATTTCAGTCGCTAAATTATATACTCACAACTCGCACAATGTGACAAATGTAATAAATATGTTTTTCAATAGTTTGAACGACTCTTGTGTCTAGTTTAACCGAAAGAGGAGAATGGTGTCAAAAATCCCATCTTAGACAGATTTGAACATAATGCTTACGCCATCTGCCTCGTACAAACAGACCCCTCATTTGAGCCACCCAGTCACTTTTTCCTGCAGGGGGCCTGGCAGGTACTTCACAACGGTGTCCATGATGCTCTCCTCCTCCTCATCGTCACCACAGCCTTTGGGCACCGCCTGTTTGGGCCGAGTCAAGCTCCCCGCCGCTGGTTCTTCTGCGGCAGCCGCGGCCTCCGCATCCACCACCTCACGCTTTTTCAAACCATACTGTAAGGGGTAGAAAATAAAATGTACTCTAGAGCTCCTTTCACGAGTGTTTCACAGTGATCACACACATACAAACAGGCTAAATATTTAAATAAAACAATGAAATATCAGAGTTTCATCTTCAGAAATGTATTTTTTGCCATTATATCACAGCATTCATAATACGTTTTTGTAGTAGTAGTAGTAGAAGTTCATAGCAAGACAAAATTGTAAAATGTACTTTATTGTCAGTTGTTCACAATATACTGTGAACTATGTACTTTATAGAAAGGAAGTATTATTGTTATAGCATTATTTCTATTTCCAAATCTAATTATATGTCATTTTGGTATGATCAGCAATGTTTCCAACCCTCCCCCTTCATTCAAATGAGTTAGTTGTTGCTCGAGGCTCTTGCTGTGTTATCAAGAGACCAATGGCTTTGTCTATTTTTAGATGTTTTGATGATCTTTCATACTGGGGATGGGACAGCGTTCACACTCACCAAACATAGTCAATAGTGTAGCTTTATGCGTGTGCTTATTTGTTGTTTGCGCACCTTGTCTCTGATGCCTTGCCTCATGGACTCTCTCTCTGCCTCCATCTTAGCGTATTTGGCCTTTCTCTCCTCCTCCTGCTGCCGGAGTGCCTCCTGCCTTTCCTCTTCTTTCTTGGCTGCGTCAGGGTCCTCCTCCTTCTCCTCTCCCCCCAACATCTTCCCCACATCGGGAGGGCCACCTTCAGAGAGATTTGGCAACAGGAAATGTCAAACTAGTTCAAGACGACAGGTTTTATAACAATCGGCAACTTGATACAGATTACAAAGGCAGCGTAACAGATTCATCTATTCTCACAATATTATCTTATTAATATTCCCTTGTGGATCAATAAAGTCTGTCTAAGTCTAACAAACAAAAAACGCAAAAGGACAATGAATAGATAGGGGCACTGCTTACACTTAAACTGATTGTATATTAAAGTTGCGATAAATTGTTTTCAATGCAAACAATACATGAACTTTGATCCGTTCAGTGTTGTTTTTGACACCTGCACTGTTAGAATGTGTTTTTATGTATGTCTTTCTGGTATGGACCTTTTACTCTTGTGTCCGAAATAAAATATTGAATTAAATTGAATATTAGGTCTTGTCCAATGAACAGAGGAGTAGCAGCACCTGATGGGAGAAGCCTTGTGCAAAAGGTGGGGGGGCGGGTTGTACAACAAACTAGAAAAAATCTCTGGCAAAAATGTGTTTTAAACTGGGATATCTTGCACTGGCTACTTATGATCCCTAATATTTAGTCTCGGGGGCAGCAAGCATCCGGCTCAATATTAGGTTAATTGCTGCTGTGGATCAATTGTTTAACTTTCTGTATTCTTCAAAATTCTCATTCCAGATAGCCTTACAAGTGTAAAAATTAAAAGTATATTTTCCCATTGTTTGGGTTTACTCACAATCAGAAATGTGTCCCCTGAAGAGTGGATTGTATTATTGTGCAACTAAATAAAGTAGCTAAATGATTTATATGACTTTAATTCAGGCATGTATACACTGCTTAATGTTATGGCTTTTAAAATATAGGTTTGTAGCTTTCGACATTGGCCGTTGACGCACAACTGCATGTGTGTGTGTGTGTGTGTCTGTGTCTGTGTGCATGTGTGTGTGTGCGTGGGTGTGCCTGTGTGTTTGTGTGAGTAAAAATTGTGGATCATGGACCAATTAGAAAGCACACAAGAACCACTGTCAGATGGAGTGAATAATGTGAATTTGTGTACATCTGTTTGTGGGTGGACTTGATGGAGCAGCAAGTGAACATTTTGTCCTCCAAGTTGTTGATGTGTTTGTGAATTTGCTGAAAGCTGAATAGTGATGGTTTGACAACTCGGTGTGTGTCTCCAAAGCTTGAGCTCGTATGGGAGTCGGCGTGCGTTGTTTAACCTCAAACCTCTGAAATTCAACCTATAACGGACATGGACGAATATGAGTTGTTTCAAGAGCTACTGTAAATTGAGAATCTAGTGCAGCCGAGAGCCATGAAGCACTTCTGTTCTGTGAGGCTAACGGAGATCATTTCATCCACAAGTTTTATTGGAGATGAAAGCTACTACAATATGTTGCAGTTTCACCCCTAATCCAAAGAAAGAAGCGCTTTACAACTGTACTCTATGCTGGTTTTCCTGAAGTAAATACTGAACGCTTCAGGAACTTCACCAAATCTAATCATAATCTCTCTGCCAAATGTTTTTATAATTTGAATACTATGATGTCATCCATTATTTAGATAATAACGTACATAATGACTCTACTATGGAGACACAAAAACAAGTTCCACGTATGAAAAATACAGCATTATAATAAATAAAAAATATTGTGCAAATTTTGCCTTCCTCAACAGTCTCTGACCTGCTTTTTTATTTTTATTTTTTGAGGTAATAGTTGCTTTGTACGATAGATTTTGTTTTCATTTTTCATTTATACGTTTATTCCAAAAACCAGCATTAACACAATTTTACAACAGAATAATACAATCAATATACAATATACTGCCAGTCATTGCTTTGCTTGAAACGTTGCTTAATTTGGTTTAGAACAGGGGTGTCCAAACTTTTTAGTAAGAGGGCTACTTCAGTTCATCAAACTAGTCCAGGGGCATCACGTACTGAAAAACTGTCTTGACTGACATCGGGCTGTTTTGAGCTTTAAAATGATTTATAACAGAGCTGAAGTTGGCTGAATGACAAATGTTTTCCATCTCACCAGGTACATTAGCATCATTAACAAATCAAGTCAACTACGTACTGGGCTTTATTGGCCTATATTGGCTGAGCTGAAGTTGGATGGATGACACAGTGAACTTGTGCTTATGATCTCAAACCCTACTTTGGGGTAGCAAGGCGAGGGCCGCATAAAATGACACTGAGGGCCGCATTTGGCCCCCGGCCCTGAGTTTGGACATCCCTGGTTTAAAACGTAAATTGGTCAAATATGAATGATTGTAGAGCTTTAAAATGTTCTTATTTTTAATTTCCTTTTCTATTGCAGTGTGAAGACGCCTTTCCACAGATATCACTTATAACCAGCCAAGTGAGGTAATGGAATGTTTAATGACAAACTGAATACAAATCCATCCACAACATTTAGATGAACCCAAACAAAAAGCGGCCACTACTCGGACAGCTGAGAAATGCACCTTTTTTAATCATGAAAACAACACTTTATTTGTACATCTCCTCAATTTCCCCACATGTATTTGATCAAAGAGTTTGTCTAAAACCATGAATAAACCATGGACTTCTGAAATAACCGCTAGTGGCAGCTCTAATATACATGAATTAAGCTAAAAGCCGGATACCGTGCGATAAGATAACTAGAAAGCGGCCGTCAGCTTGAGTCTAATTATGTGAGTTGTTCTCGCTAGTGCCGTCTATTCTATGCAGCACGAGTGGAGGGTGGGGAGATGAAAGACAGTGACAAATAAGCAGGACGTTAAAGTATGTCCACAAAACCCAGTCTGAAGGAACGAGGGACGGGCGGCAGCGAGAAATGATGCGTTGCACAGAGAACGAGGGCGCCTGAGGAGATGCACAAACAGTCCACAGTAGAATGTTAGTTGTGGAGTCTGCAGAAGCACGTGGTCCGGTTTTGTTTTCACTCATCAGCATAAAACCCCAGTAAAAGTACGGCAAAATGCTGAGTGTAGGAAGATGAGGCATGGATTAAATGAGAGGGTATTATTCTAAAAGGATAAAGGAGCGCTGGGAGTATTTGAAGTTTTAAATGAAACAATTAGTTACTGGTTGAACGGTGCTAAAGTCTCTGAAAGACGATCAAAGTCATGTGGAAAATAGAGGGGGTTGCGTTCACGACCTAGAATTTAATGTCATCGTTTCAAATGGAGGGTAGGGGACTATAATATGTTGGTTTGCCTCTACCATACGTATCGATACAGGGCACTTTCAATTCGATAGGATACAATATACTAAAACAATACCATCTGAAAGACAGAATCTGAAAATATAGTTTGTAATGCAAATTTGGAGATTTGTATCCATATATCTGTCTCCAGTCTACTATAACAAACGTCTGGAATCCAAAAAACTACAGCTACAGTCTTCCTGAAAATGAGAGACAGACTTTTTCTCAGACAATGTTCAAATCCAGATGATTAAAATCCAAATTATTATTTTAATGCCTTGTATATTTTTAATGTTTCTTCGCCGTGCCTGTATATTTCCAAGTGATTTGATACCATTCAGTTAATAAAAAAGGCTTTTGGCTCCAATAATTTTGGTCCATGATATTTTTGAATAAAATACAACATTATGGGTATTGGGAGCATTAAGGGGGTTGGAAATATGCAAACGTTCGCTTCTGCCAACCCCAAACTCCAAACTTATTTATCATATTATTCTGTTGTAAAAAATATGTTAATGCTGGTTTTTGGAATAAACATATAAATTAAATAAAATGAAATGAAATGGGTGCATTTATTGAAGATTGTTGAAGTCTCATGCTTCTGTTTGAGGAGGTTATAAAGCACTAGTATGAATGTTACTGATTTACACAGAGATGTACACATGTTTCCTCTAAGTTTTTTCCTTTTCTATTTCAGTGTGAAGACGCCTTTCCACAGATATAACTTATAACCAGCCAAGTGAGGTAAGTTTAATGACAAACTGATTACATATGCACATTTAGGATCTTCCTATTGGTTAATTGGATCCACAAACCCGTGTTTAAACAGGATAGGGCTTTACGTCCTTTACTTTGCCACAGCCATCAAGTTAAATGTGAATAATGGCATCACTGTTGTGCAAGATTTATGTCACTTTTGTTTTTTTACACTGACAGGGAAGACGTTTAACTGTGCCGTCTTCCTGAGATATGTTCAATTATTTTAGGAGAGATAAACCAGATCAAAAAATGTCACAATTGTCCTGGCATGAGTTCCAATCCGTCCCACAACAGGGTTTTGAGAGTACAAAAGACAATATATATTTGATTATTTATGCTTATAGAGACTTGGCTGGAGACAAAGTTGAATCTATGTTAGTCTTTCCCCTTCGAAACTTAAAATAAACACTTTTGCACATAACAAAACATTCATAGATTTTACGATAACTGTATTTCTGCTCTAGAATGTATAAGAGTAGTTCCACAATTCATATAAATGCAACCAATCAAATGCAATGACGGAAAAATTGATGTTATTTTGCTGTCACCTTACTGCACGGCTTATTGCAATAATCTATAGTAAATAATGTATATAATCCTTGATAATACATGTGTGCTGAGTTTTACTCTGCCTTACTCTATTCTCTACCTCTCTACTTTTGACTGTTTGCACCGAGAGCCAAAGCAATTTCCTAGTCTGTGACTTCCTGTTACTTACACGGAGATAAAAATGATTCTGATTCTGATTCTGTATTGTCGGAAGTAATAAGTAGCCTGGACATTGTGTTATTGGATACGACGTCACACAACCTATAAAGGACCTTAGCAATATTACAGACTTTTGGAATAGATTATTAAAATACACCCCACCCCAACAGATGCTGCCTTTGATTTGAGTCATTTGTGAAAGGGAAAAATGGCAGAATGTTCTAATCATGGATCTAGGTTCTAATAGATCTGCCATCTCATGAGACAAAAAAGTGTTCACAAAAAAAAAAAAGTCTTTCAATTTGTTTAATCAGAAAAGAATGTGAATGTGTTATTGCATTTTAATCTTGAAACAGGAAAAAGGAACAAAGTTGACCTTTTTATGCTGAAAAGTCAAATATTAGCATAGCATTGGTGATATAAAATTTTCGCTTCCTTGATAAATGTTAACAAGGCTAGACTGACAGAGCAAATATGTATTCCTTTTCCTATTAACGCGACTCGTGCCTATTATATTTCTACGGCAGCTTCATGCATGGCAAAGCTCTATCTTGCAAAAGGACTTTGGGTTTGCATAATTTATTCTGCCGAGCTTACCGTCAAACATTTATGTCCTATACAACCTCGTGCTCTGAAGGAGGGGCTGAAGGTCGCGCCAGGCATGTGAATTTGATTTGCGTGTGTGTGTGTGTGTGTGTGTGTGTGTGTGTGTGTGTGTGTGTCCATTTTAGTGATACAGACCAGGGCACTCTGTCAATCATATTAGCCTGCTCGACAATGCAATTACTGGCACTTAGAGAAAATGAATCAAGATGAATGTTGTGGTTTTGTTCCTAAAAAGAACCTTTGTGTATCAGTGGAATTGTGCAGTGTTTCTCACCACATTGAAACGACAAGTTACAATGTTGGAGCTGCAGTGAATTTGATTTAAATTTTAATATGTTTTGTTTCCCTTCCAGTCAGTCACAATGCTTTCTATGGAGCTAGTCACTTGCTATACTAGAATCTATTTTAGGCTGAGCAGCTTTGCGTATTCTTTCATTTAAGCTTTTCCCTTCTGGGGAGGCCTCAGAAGACAATTTATATTGTATATATGCTGCTCCATAAGTTACACATAGATTTATGTCGGCAAGCGCATCCGGATAGGGACATAGTACATCTGGCCTATATGTAAATGTAAAAGTATACAGTTAAACTATTTTTCTTTTTCTTTCAAATACAATGTTAGCAGTAAATTATTATGTTTGTGTGTGCTTTAACGCTTTTGTTTTTATGCTCTGTTATATCTTGATCACTTATCACCATTTGATGCAAGTCCTATTCAGAGAGCTTCATGTTTGAATAACTGCCCCCAGAGAGGACGGACTGGTCCACGGACAGAAGAGAGACTGTTCATGCTGATGTGGTCATGGTCCTGTGCCTGAGGCTTCTGTCCTCGCTGAGGTAGCTTGATTGAGCTCCACACCTCCAGAATGAAGTGTGCCTCACTTAGCATTGTCATTTTCTGTCAAACTGGTTCAGCATTTAGAATATTGAGAAGTGCTGACTCTGTGCAAAAGTATTGGAGAGGAAAGGCAATCAGAGAGGATGCAGAGAGGAACTTTTATGGTCTCTAAATTTAACGCAACAGTCGGAAACAAAAGCATCTAACTGTTTAAAAGGCTACGTTCAAGCATTAGCACGTCAAACAGGGCAGAACTGAGCGTGACTGATCAGCAAATAAAGGAGTTAATAGATTGATTTTTCTTTTGACAAATCTTTTCTTTTGTCACAGCAAAGCATTTGTGGGAAATGATTTGCATTTTGATTTGGCAACCATTTTTCACCAGATGCTCTTTCTGACTCAACCTTTTCTACTCCAGAGCACATTGGCTTGAAAGTTGCAATAGCTCGACTGAAATCTGAATACTTTTACATAAATACATCTCTGGAGCCATTTTCTTCCTGTTTATCTGGAGCCGGATCCCAGAGGCAGCAGTCTTCCAGCATCAGACCTCTATGCAACCGACGCCCATGGAAGTCCCTTTAGGGCTGAGCCCAGCCGGGCTCCAGGGCAGGGCCCCAGCTGCACTATACCCGGCAACGAATGATTCATTATCCATGAGAGTATTCCGACTGGGCTTTGTGTGGCCCGTCACGAAGGACCTCTCTGCCATGGGAGACCCTTCCAGGAGCATAATAACCTAGGCAACATGGATCATTGGATCATCCGTGACAAAACACATAATGATGATGAAATAAATGAAATGAAAGAAAATGGCTGGCTGTTTTTAGATCTTAGATTTGATTAGTGATCTGGTCTTTGTAATGTGACCTCAGTCAAGACAAGAGAAAAAGAATAATGGAAGACTTTAAAAAATGGATCTAATATAAAAGGATTTTCTTTAGAAACGTAACCAGGAAGTGACCTTACAGTGATCACATGGCCACTGCAGAAGCCCCAGACCAAGACCGGACACCAGACCTGCTGAATCACTGCTGTTCAACATCTCATCTTTTCCAAAGGATCTGTAACTAAATAAGCCTTGGAGGGTTGACTAATGCACTGGCAGCATCCTCCCTCCACCCGCTTCCCACCAAACACTCAGCAAAAGGTAGAGCCGCTCATGAAACCAGACCTTCTTGTATTATTTTCCTATAAGCACTCCCAAATATAATTACTCACATCCAGTAGCTCCTATAGCACTGGTTCAGTTTCAGACTTCACCTGTTTATTCTATACTAGAAATATATAAATTCTATATCTGCATCTCAATCACTGATTTTCTAAGTCAAGCAAAAATGACAAAAGATAATAATGATATGAAAGAAGACTATTGATTGACAGCATCTAATTACCAGATTCATGGCTAAGCAATTGACTGTTTATCTAATTTTTTTGATTTAATTATTGATATTTCCCACCAGTCCAATAGAGAAATCCAATGAATTGTCAGCATTTTCTTGACTTTGTAGTCCTCAAGGCACCAAACTAAAAGCAGCTTACTCTACATTAACAATCTTTCTGGTTGTCTTAGAAGGACAAATCACCAGACCCTGCAGGTTTTACCCGCCCAGTGCAACCTCCATAATTAATCCCCTCTCTCCTCCATTTGTCCCATATACAGTATTGATAAAACATTACGCCGTTCGTCCCACATGCACACACATACCAAGTTTGAATATGCATGTTCAAAGCCCACCACAGCGCTGTGCAGTGTGATGCAGCAGAGAGTTGATTTAAGAATTCACAGTGCAGACACGAGCCCAGGCCACTATGCAGAGCGAGCCAAGGCGGCCATCCCCTGAATCCCAATGAGGCTCTGAAGGGCTCTGCCGGAGCACTACAGCGCAAGTGCAACTGCCAGAGACTTCTCCATCCAAGCTACATGCGGCTGACCAGTGTGCAAGAGCCCGTGCAGCAGTGGAGCAGATAAATGTGACTAGTTTCCGCGCCCTCTTTGCCCTGAAGCCTGAAGCAAGAGGGATATGTTTCAAAGCTATTATAGGCTCTAATTAGGGGGGCAAAGATTATGATAATGCCTGGCTTTAAAGGCTGAAAAGTCTTTGTACTTCAAATTCTCGGCTTAAACATCTTTTTTTTTTCTTTTGGCTTGAGTTTGCAAGAGAACACCACCTGCCTTATTTTGATCTTTAATTAACCACTTGTTTTATTTAATGTTATTAACAGCAGATGCACTTCCCTATCCAAACCTCGGCAGTGCTTGTAACTGACATTGGTAATCGGAATCCCTCCTTGCACAAAATGAATAAAACAGGATATTGTATTGAAAAAGACAGATATTGTAATTGATACGATCTAATCTAATCTAATTTTGCAGAATGAAAAAAATCTGTCTGTTCTGAAATGTGTTTTATTGCAGCCCCTTGGGACAATGGCAGTTTATTGCTCCCAAGACTTCAATGCACCATAAACCACTTGAATTGCTTTCTCAAAATAGATTGGAAAAAAAGCTGTGTCTTTGTGCATTAGCTTATCTGAGTCTACAGGACAACTACAGTAAGGCAAGGCAAGGCAAGGCAAGTTTATTTGTATAGCACAATTCATACACAAGGCAACTCAAAGTGCTGAACAAGATAGCATTAAAATCATAAATAATTACAGAACATTAAAACGAAAGATAAAAATATAAAATCCCTCAGTTGTATGCACAGCTAAAAGTACACCGTGATAGTTTGCGTGTGGACACGGCTCCCCTTCAAATCCTGTACACTGCAGTGCTGTTAAATCAACCCACAGCCCGGGCGGACCACTCACCTCCCATCGCAGCTTTCATTACAAAATTCATGATGAAGCAGTTCTGTGCACTCCTCCTTCGGTCACGTTACAGGGGCAGACCTTTAAAAACAAGCAACACACAAGGCAATGACCGCACCGGCAACAAATGATGCAATTACAGATGGCTAGTTTTATTATGCATGGAATAGATAAGTTTGAACATCCGAATGGAAACAACACATGATTCAACACTACGTGTTCAGGCAGAGCAACAAAAAGTGGGTTAGGTAAGAATTTTGCAGTGTCCCATGTAAGACACCTGCGCCCTTGATGTACAACAACTGTCCACCTTGTGCTGCTTTATGCTGACACTGCCCACCTGCCTCATTAAAAATAACTTGTGAGAAGCAATACACATGAATATGGGTCTTTGTATGGTGAGATGAGGCAATGACCTTCAGTGTGGGGGATTGGGATATTAGCATATGTGGTCCCAGGACAGTTTGCTTTTTTCAATTTATGGAAGTTGTAATAATGTACAAATATATTGGTGTAAATGCATGACTCTACTGTAGATTCTTTAAACGCTGGCAAAACTCCTCAAAGCTGATTTGTATTAATTTGAGATTTTGTCTTTTTTTTTTTTCAACTCATAAAGCTCGTGCCACCCAAGCGGCTAATAAAGTGTGCAAATACAATGCAACTGATATGGGTCCATGATAATATCAAGAACCAAATTGCCTGACGTGAACCCATATACTTGCCTCCAGTGCAGCACATCTCGCGCTCAAACTCTACAGCACACCTACGCATAGGGATAAAACTAACACCGGAGATCGTTGAATAGCCTCCATCTAATACGGCTATTCATTGACATGCCCGCATCGCAACAGCACCGAACCAGCCCGTCCCGTATTGTGCATGCGCTTTTTGCCCTGTGTGCGTGTTTACCTCGTCCGATCGTGGCTCCAAGTCCCTTATTCCAACCAAAAAGCGCTTTGTCGCAGTGTTCCCGGGCGCCCTCCTTGTTCTCATTCAGTGCGGAGAGAGAGAAAGCTGTAAGTTGCGAGTGTGAGAGGCGCTGCTGAGTGCGTGCTTGTGCGTGACAGTGCGCGCAGACATGCCGCTAGTGTCAAGAGCGCGGCTGCAGCGGCTAGGAGGAGGAGGAGGAGGAGGAGGAGGAGGAGGAGGAGGAGGAGGATGGGAAGGAGAGCGTGTTCCTACAGGACAAGCCGAGAAAGTGCACCTCGAGGGATGGAGGGAAGGAGAGGAGGATTCGCCCCGACGGAAGAGGGGCCATCTTTTAAATGTCAATAAACCCAGGACCGTAAACAACACGAGCGCAGCAATGGGGGGGAAGATAGGATAAAGGTAACAAACTGGAAGCCATCGCGAGTGACTGCGTAATGTAAGAACAGCGAGAGTAGAAAGGCACAGAATGCAGAAAAGTAGCAATCTGCAGAAAGAAATGCAGAAAAACTAAAACAAAAGAAACTATACCATGCGTAAAACGAATGACATGATTGCAAGTGTCACTTCGTTATGGAGAATGTAAAAATGTAACAAAAAAATATTGCAACATAGCTTACTGTTTCACTATTACACCACTGTTATAAATCTATTATTGCTCTATTAGACATTTTACAGAGTTTTGGGTGACCTTGGTCTCTAAAATGGGCTAAATATATAAAGATTACTTACTTACTTATTTACTTACTATCACACCACTATTACACCACTATCACACCATTATTAAGCTACCGTCACACCACTATTACTTATAAGTATACTAATCTTTTGAGACATAAAACTGTTGAAAAGGAATGCATTGTGGAACATGTATACCTCATCTGAGTTGGGGAGAAGTTTAAAGCATGGTTTTCTTATATAAACATTTCACAGAGCACTGTCCATCCATCCATCCATCCATTCATCCATTTCCTCCGCTTCATCCATTGCCAGGTCACGGGGGAGAAGCCCAGACTTCCCTATCCACACACACTTCCTCCAGCTCATCTGTGGGAACCCCTATGCATTCCCAGATCAGTATGTCCGGAACCGAAAATCCCGGAGAACCCTCCAAAGGCCACCCGGGGAACACGGTTGAACGCCTTCTCCAAATCCACAAAGCACAAGTGGACTTGTTGGGCGAACTCCCATGAACCCTCAAGTATCTGATGAAGAGTATAAAGCTGGTCCAGTGTTCCACGGCCGGGAATTCCCCTGAATCCGAGATTTGACCATCGGTAATAGTCTCCTGTCCAGTGCGTTGGAGTAGACCTTACCGGGGAGGCTGAGGAGTGTGGTCCCACGGTAATTGGAACACACTCTCCAGTCCCCCTTAATGGAGAAAGGGGCCACCACTCCGGTCTGCCACTCTATTGGCACTGCCCCTGATCGCCACGCGATTTTGCAGACGTGTCAGCCAAGACAGACCTACAACATCCAGAGACTTTAGAAAGTCAGGACGGATCTCATCCACTCCCTGAGCCTTACCACCGAGGAGGCTGCCAACCACCTTGGTGACTTCAGCCAGGGAGACTGAGGATGTTGGGGCAGTAAGTATCTGCCCCAACATCCTCAGGCTCTGCCCCCGGAAGTATGCCGCTGCTTTGCCAGCCAATATTTCACAGCTGCATAGCTGCACCTGCACAGCTCAGGCGGCACGGTGGCTGAGTGGATAGCACTCTCGCCTCTCAACAAGAAGGTCCTGGGTTCGAATCCCGGTTGGACCAGGGCCTTTCTGAGTGGAGTTTGCATGTTCTCCCCGTGTCTGCGTAGGTTTCCTCCGGGTGCTCCGGTTTCCCCTACCACTAAAAATATGTACAATAGGTCTGGCATGTGCCTCCTGTACTGGCCCCACTCCCAAAAATCACAATTGTAAACCGCTTTGAGACTCCGATGTGCAGTGAAAAGGCGGTATATAAATAAAAGATTACTACTAAAAAAAGATTACTATTACTATTACTGCATCAGGAGTCCCCCAAACCATCATGGCTCGATAGGACTCCTTCTTCTGCATGCTGGCATCTCTACTGGTGTTCACCATCGGAATTGGGGGTTGCCACTAGGGTTGGCACCAGCACCTTGCGAACACAGCTTCAAGCTGTCCCATCGGCGATAGAGATGGAGAACATGGCCTCTATGTCCCCCCTCCTCTGAGTTGAAAGTCCGTCGGACAGGGGGCTCAGCGAGACGTTCCCAGCAGACCCTCACCACACGATTGGATCTGCCAGGTCTGACCGGCTTCCTCCTCTGCCAGCGGATGTGTGCGGACTGGGTCGCCGAGGTCTCTACTCTCAAGCCCTCTGTGGATGGTGGGTCCACAGGAGGGACTGCCCATGTCGTCCTTTTGGGCTAAGCCCAGCCACCAGATGCTCGCAGACGAGCCCCAACCCCATTCCTGGCTCCAGGGTGGGGCCCCGGCTGCGTCATGCCGGGCAACGTCACTGTTGTTGATAACGTGCTATCCATGGTGAGCTTCGGACTGCGCTTCGTCTGACTCGTCACCCAAGAACTGTGCCATGGGAGTCCCTACCAGGGCCCGGAATCCCCAGACAACATAGCTCCCAGGATCATCCTAGTACTCAATTAAGTACGTTAAGGCGGCAGTCCAGGTGGGAGCACCGTATAATTCTTCAACTGGGAATACATAAAAACAGTAAGCCACAATTGCAAATAAGATACAGCACTGATCAGAGATGCGAGAGTATCTAGAGGCCCATGGTAACTCTGGGAGGTGCAGATAGCTGCTGAGCTGAGGGAATCTGTACATGGAACAAAGATTAGTCATGCACTATGCCACTGCTACTGCATCATGCAGTTGGCCAGCTGAGAGAAATAGTCCCTCCACTGTGTCCTGGGTCTTCCTCACCACTTGTATCCGCAATCTCGCCCTTTTGGTCATTACCCAAAGCACATAACCATCGGTGAATGTGGGAATTTAGACTGAACAATATAACCAGAGCTTTTCCTTTTGACTCAATCAATCAATCATTCAAATTTGAATTATAAAAACTCAGATCCTTTGTCAGCACAACAGTCAGATACAGCGACCACATCAGCGATCCATCGACCGATCCCACACTCCATCCTTCGCTCACTATGAACAAGACACTCAGATACTTGAACTCTGGTCGAGCTCGGTGGCCTCGGTTTGGATGCACTAGGCCACTGTAAACAGATCAGGCCTGTATGTACCAGTAGCACAAAAGTAAACAATGTTGAAATAAAACCATGTGAGGAACCCATCCAACATATGGAAGAAGATGTGCTACTTATGAGAACAAAATTTCACATTTTAGCCTAAACGCAGAACACCAAGTGTGGTGGGAAACTGCTCATCCCTCACTCTAACGTGGTGGTGGCATCCTCATGCTGTGGAATCATTTATTTGTTTTTTATTTGGTTGGGACAGTGCATGTAAATGAACTCATCTCTTCGGATTATAACTTTGGGCTAATTTGCATTCATTGTCCCACAGTAGTGCTGGGAGGGGAATCCAGACCACCCGGAGAGAACAACCCACGCAAGTACGTGGAGAACATGCAAACTCCACACAGAGAAGCCCTGTCTGGAGGTGAACTCAAAATCCAGAACCATGTTTCTGTGAAGCACAAGCGCTAACCACTGCACCACTGAGCTACAGTTATTTCTGCTTCAGCAGGGACACTCTATATATAGTGTAATTCTGGAATAAAAAAGGTTGTAATCTGCAAAAGACTTGACACTGGTGTGAGGGAACCTTCTATCAGTCTAAATATAAATGCCTTTTCATATGGAATGGTTTAAAACTATATTCTTGCTTTAGAATGAGCCAGTCAAAGCCCAGAGCTATATTCAATTGAACATTTGTGGCAAAATCTAAAAACTGCTGTTCACAAATGCTCTCCATCTAATCTGACAGAGCTTGAGCTATTTTAATGGAGAATGGGTAAACAATGTCAGCCTCTAGATGTAGAAAGCTTACAGATATACCCACGAGTAAGTTAAACATTGCTGAAAATCTACGCTTCAGAAATATGGTGAAGATAAAACCGTTCTGGATCACAGATTGATACAACAGCCTAAAATGTCTCTTTTTCACTGTCTCGTTATTAAGACGCAAAATGTCTCTATTTGCATGATTGGGATTAACAATTGCATAACCAAACATTTTAGCACCATAATTTCTAAAACACTAGATATGCGTTTCCCTTGCCTTCCAAAATGTGCAGTAACGCGTAAAAAACCCTGAAAAAATAACATCTCTCATTAAAGCAGAGCAACATCTGCAGCCTAATCCAAATACTCTTCACACTGAGCACTTCAGCCTGCATCTCTATCATCCAAAGCCCTTGTTCTAAAATAGGCCTCTTCTCCCTGTGTGCACACTCAAACGTCCTTGGTATTTTTCAAAGTAACATTACCACATTGTAGTGGCAAGTAGATAGCACGGAGCACACAGTGGACCATGGGGAGCGTTACTGCTGTTTGCCCCATCTATTAATCACAACATGGGAGGCCGTGTCCAGCCAGCACTCTCTCACTGACTGCACCCAACAGCCGAAGACACTTCCGCTCTAGCTTTTATGTGTTCTCTCTCTTATGTCAAACCACAATCTTTTTATTTGATTGTTGCTATTGTTGTTACATTCTTTTTGTAGTCAATGTTATATCAGATTTATAATAACATTCTCCCAATAAATGTGTTTATATAACATTAAATTTAAACTTTACACTTAGTACAATAATCTTAGAATGTATAAAAACTGACCAGATAGTTAGTTACCCACATTTAACTTAAAATTATACAGCTATCTCTAATTAAAAACAACTAATATACATGTATTTTAACGTGTGTGAAGCAATTCAATTTGTTTCCCAAAGGGTCAGACAAAATTACCTTTAATGTTTATAAAGTTTAGGTCTGAAAATGACCTTCTCTTGACGAGTCGATGACGTAACCTGCACTCAGTGTGCACTGTCCCAATTCCGCCTTTTTTGCACACTTGTAACCTGCGCACTCCAACCCTGGTGTGCACTTTGAACAAATGCACACTTCGTAGAGGTGTGTAGGGTGCAGTGTGGGTATTGGGACTGGGCCATAATCTGAGGTGAGATCAGAGTGGACTGCGACACTCCCATGATCTTCCAGACTGAGATTCCCGAACCTGCTCACGATTCCATATCTCAATATAGATTCAATACTCGCTCTATAGAAGGTCAACATAACGTTTTGGCTCACTCCAAATACTCTAAGCCTACGAAGAAAGTACAGCCGCACAATACTTTTGAAGACAACTAACACGTTGATACATT